GGAAATGGGAAGGTCACGCTATAGATTGACTAACAAACTACCGTACTGTACTCGAGTACCGTACAGTACTGTACTTGTAACTCACGATCCAAAATGTTCCAGTGGACTCAAAAGTGATGTGTGGTGAGTTTGGGGGGGGGATCTGTGGTGCCTGTCTGCCTGCTTTCTTTTTCCTTCCTCCCTCTCTTTCCCTTCCTTACTGTATCATACCGATATCCCCCTATCAGATATCTGACAAGCGCGGCCCGTCCATATCAACCAACGGTGTTCCACTACCGTAGACATTGAAAAAAAGTAATTGACGTATATATCAAACTATCGTACAGTAGACATGTCACGGCACCACAACTCCCAAGTCTCACGCCATACACATACACATACACATACAAGTTACGTGTACGGTACGATGCTCGAACATTGGAGAGACAAACCACCCCCTCTCACCCGCATACTTGACGCATAGACAGACAGATGGACAGACAGACAGGCAGACAGACGTCTGCTGAGCCATCAAGTTGGGAAAAAGAGATGTAGGAGGGGGGGGGAGGAGACCAGTCAGTCGTCCATCTTGGGCTTCTTTGGCGTCGGGCGCAGATGCTCAGGAATCACGAGTATCCTTATTTGGTCCGCAAGTACGCATTTTACCTTTCTATAAACGATCCAGACGCATATATCAGGCAGAAGTAGAAGGAAAGAACCCCCCCGCGCCGCCGCCCTGGGCTGCTTTGGCGCCTCTTCCCCTCCCCCAATTCATCCAAACTTTTCAGGTTTACGAATGCTACGAGTATATTGCTTTTCAAAAGTACCGCGGAAGGGACGGACGAGAGAGGTGTCGGAGCACATCGATATCTAATCGTACCATAGCCTTAAAAGCGCCACGAAGAGTATTAGTGGAGTAAATTTAGGGTGTGCGCTTGATTGAGCTAGCTGGCAGGTTGGCAGGCGGGCTGGCTGGCAGACTTCCTCCTCAGCGGCTTGTTCAGAAACATCGACTGAGGGGAGGAGGGGGGCAATCCGAGACCCTTTGTTGGCTGGAGAACGTCGGCGACCTATACCAGCACTAACTCGTACACTACATGGGTGCCGATAATTGGACATGTTTCAATCGGGAGCGGTGGTCAAAACCCGTAGTACTGTATGTACCTCGTGTATGAGGATGAGAGAGAGAACAAGTTCTTGTTAGGCCGGTAGTCCACCCCCCGCCCGCCCCCTGTTTGCTGGGTTCAGCGTGGTCGAGGTATGATATTATTTCACCTCGATGCGGTATGTTACGGTGCGGTACGGTAGGTAGGAAGAAAGAGGAAGGAAAAGGGTTCATGCATCCTGAGACGTCGGACCTTTTGTAAAATAATTCGTAGCATCGCCCATCGTTTTACTATACTGGAAGTGTGGGGGGGGGGGTTACGAACGCAATCTCTGCACTGCGAGTCACTCGCATTCTGACCTTTCGGTTCTTGCCAATCGACCAAACTTCCTAATCCCTACAGTACCGTATTATTATATACGGTACTCCAGATCCATGAGGAATGTTTCCACCCTTGATTGGCCGGATAGGGGGAAGGGGGAGGGGGGGTTAATATGATTATGCACCCAAGAGTCTGGCGTTGGACAATCGACGACACGAAAGAATTGGTGGTAAGGCTTGACCGGCTAGCTTTGGCTTTCTTGGGACTCGGAGCCCTTCGAACCCTGCTGACTCTCTCCCTCCATCGCACACCCTCCCGGCAGCCCCTTTACTTCACTTTAATTTTTACCCTCCCCCTCCACCCCCCTCTCGGCCATGAAATGGTCAATCGGCAGTTGGGATCTGGACACATTGACCACTTGCCCAAGGAAACGAAACGGTTGCAGATTTACAGTGAAAGGGAAGCTGAAAAAGCAATTAATCTGGAGACCTCCCCCCCCGTCCCCCCGTCCCCCCCTCCCCCATACGGTATGAATCGCCCAAAGGGAATAAAATAGCGAGCTCGAGTTCGCAAGACGATTGAAAAAGTAAAAAAGAAGAAGAAAAAATGATGCTAAAAACAAGCTTGAAAGAGACAGAATGAGACAGCGGGTGTGGCCCAACTCGATCAATCGCTTAACACTAACAAGTAACGGGGTGAAGGGGGAAAGAAAAACCCCCATTTGTTCGAAAAGCCCAATCCTCGATCACCATACCGCAAAAGCAAAGAAAAGGAAAGGGAGAAAAGAAAAGAAAAGGAAGGGAAAAAAAGGAAGGAAAGAGATTGTTGGCCAAAGATGAATTACCAAACCTAGATTACGGGCCTGGGGAGGTCATTGGAAAAATGTAGCCGGACAGGCGGTACGATTCCGTGTTGGACGACCGGCTCAACTTCGCGGACCCTTTTTTTTTTTTGGTCCCATTGCCGTACTACTCCCGCGGGGTTACCTACGCGTATCGTAGATGCCTCCGTCAGAGCCTCCGGACTGGATTCGTACTACACCGGGGATCATACGGGGAAAGCTATTGGACGCGATGATAGAGCTCGGGCAGTCCGTACAAGTACGGTATAGCAGCGAGGTAACGGGTAGAGTACCTTGGGCGGAGCAAATGCAACTCTATTCCATCTTTGGCGGAACTGTCGAAATGGGGACTTGGTGCTCCCTTCGCTCGTGCCGGTACTGTGCCACTCTGTGGATATCGGGTAACAATAATAACGATAATAATAAGGATAATGCTGGGGTTTACTCGTACGCTCTCCCCCCCCCTCTCCATCCACGGCGCGGGGAGGGACGAGGGAGGGCGGCGGCGGAAGGGTGTGGAGGAGGATTTGGGGGGTTGGTTGTTGCTATTGGCAATGGTAACAGATGATGCTGCTTTTTTGGCTGTCGGAACCGGGAACAGAAACTGGGATTTCAGTCCGCCTGGTACGCTCACTCAACCGTAACTGAACCTTTGTGCTCGTACATGTACTCGAGTACCGGTGGAGCACTCTGCAACATCCATCCCAACTCATAATGCTGCTTCTATAATAGCCGCTCCTTTAATCCCATCCCGCGCGTAAGCAACTGACCCCCTGTCGCAAATCCCACCCGGTGATCTGGGAGGCCCCCTCGATAGCACACACCTTTCTGTTATCCAGATTTTGACCCTCTCCGCCATTTTATTTTAACCAAAGATGGAGGGTTACTCCCACAGCTCCGATATCCGTCGGTTTCCAGCTGTGAACGAACCTTTCGCGCAGCGTGCTGGCTTACCGATATATGAATATCTTTATTTTTTTCCTCCTCCTTCTTCACCTCCCATCTTCTCCCGTTTCTTCGCCCCCTTCTCATCCGTAGATTCGACCACTCGGCCTCCGCGTTATAAGTTTAGGCTGCTCCCGTCCTGAAATTTTTGGTGGCCAAGTCCTTGGGTTGGATTGAGTTCTGCATCCTCTGCTATCATATCTCGAACGACAAGTGAACACCACACACATCCCACAAATACACCGCATCCGCATCCGCATCCGCATCCGCACCTGTTCCCCATCATCCCCCCCTTTCATACGGAGCTGGAAGAACAGACCCTCTGCCGTTGTTACCGCAGCCGCATCTTCTCTTGGTGGGATTTCTCTCACGACTGACTGACTTACCGGTATTTCGTGCACTCTACACATCCCGCATCACCCATCCACCGCTTCAGCATCTACCAGCACACGTACCCAGCACAACCTATTTCCCCAATCGATTATAGACATTTAAAATAAAGTGAATCAATCACAGCTGTCGAGGTCTCTGCAGTAGAGGAGACATACTCGTGAGACATACGCACGTCACATCTCTCACATTTTACCAAGGGGGAAAAAAAAAACGCACAACCACCCGCCCAACCCCACAGACTTGGACTTGGACACGGACACATCTTTTTTTTTTTTTTTTTCCCCGTCTACAAGTACAAACTACTTTTAGCGGCCCCGAAGTTCGTTTTTCGTTTTATCTTTCCTTGAACCGCGGCAGCTGCGAAGATTTTGATTCAACGGGGACCGTCTTCCGGTTTAAGATTCGGCACTTTTTGAAGGGAGAAAGAGGAAGAGGGGAGAAGGGGAAAATCGCTAAGAGAGACAGGTGGAGCTACAGCCAACTATTCCGTTGGTTGGGTGACTTTTGCCTGAGAGGGGGAGAAGGATAGGAAAAATCAAGTAAAAAGTCAGCGGGACGAGGGGTGCTTGACAGAAGGGACAGCATAAGAAACTTTTTGGAACCCTCCGCATTCCGAGTTTGGCGACGTAGCGTAGCAGCCTGCTCCTCGTTGCTGGCTAACTGTCAGTCTGCCTACTTGGGAATCAAGAGCTCTTTTGATACGCCAAGATAGCGAAGTGGCTTTCTGGGTCGACTCTCACTCAATAACAGGAGGGCCCTGTGAATTCTTTTCGATTTTTATTTTATTTTTTCCTACCCATCTATTTTACACTTTGTTGCACCAATTCGTCCAACTGGCAACTCGAGTGCTAAGTTACTGCCTGCAGCCTTGTGTATGAAAAGGAACCTGGATAAGCTCTGCCAACATTCATATAGCACACCAATTGCTAGCGCTCCGGGTCAACGCCTTTTCCCCGTAAGTACGTCCTATTTCTTTCTTTCCTTTTTCCTTGTTTTTTCCTTTTTTTCCCTCCCATTTCCTTTCCCATCCCTCTCTGTGTTCCCTCAAAAAAACTCTTTTTTTTAATCATATATTCGTCCACCCCCCCCCCGTCACTCATCATCCCACATAACCTTACCATACGCTACTCTCCAACCTCCCATCCCCTGAGTCAAGCTTCTTAGCTAGTACTGTACCGTACCCGTTAGCACCCACACATTCACTTCATCTCACTCACTTGCACCCACACTAACATATATTCCCCCCTCCCCCCCCCGCTGCCGGCTAGACATCATTTAAAACCGACTTGATCTCCCCATCACATCACATCAACTTCAACTACCCATACATACGCCCATAACAAAGTATACTCGAGTACATACATACATACACACAACTGCCTTCATTACATACATCTATACACTCGCTTCATACAATGTTGAGTCTGCAACAACCACACCGACGGGGACCATGGTCCGCCCACGAGGATGCCCATTTACTCAGTCTTGTACAGCTCCACGGACCCCACAACTGGGTTCGCATCGCGTCACTGGTGAATAGCCGGACGCCCAAACAGTGCCGGGAGCGCTACCACCAGAACCTGAAGCCTACCCTGAACCACGACCCCATCACACCGGAAGAGGGTGTGATGATCGAACGACTGGTCGGGGAGATGGGCAAGCGGTGGGCCGAAATTGCCCGAAGGCTCCACGGCCGCAGCGACAACGCCGTGAAGAACTGGTGGAATGGCGGCATGAACAGACGGAGGAGGATGTGCCTCCGCCAGAGATCGCAATCCCACAACCTGGACAGCATCAACACCGCCACCACCGCCGCCGTCAGCAGCAGCAGCATCAACAGGCACTCGGAGGACAACATGAGCCAGTTTGCTACCCCACAATACTCGCCGGTCGGCAAGAATCTCACCATCGATGTCAGCCGGGGACACCATGACACCCCGCTATCCTCACCCGCATACACCGAGAGCTCGAGAGGCCAGACCCCCGGATTGATATCTGATGCTGCCAGTGCCTTCAGTGCGTCCCCGCGCATGCCACCCTCCCCCATGGGCAGCGAGAATACGCTGCCACCGCTTCTGCCTCCCCACGGTGCACAGCACCGGCGGACGTCGTTGCCCATCCTGCAGGTCCCCGAGGAGCATCGTATCACAGAGTATGATGGCCGTGTGCAATCATTCACTCGACGACATTCCAGTACGAGCAGGGATTTCGAGATACGCTCTCGAGAATTCTCCTATACAGCCTCCTCGCTCTCACACTCTGCCTCCGCCCAGCGGTATTCCGCGATGGATTCGAGTTATCACTACCTACGGCACAAGGTGCCGCAATACGACTCTCATCGTGATCCCGTCATCATACGTGATCCGGAATCTGCTCAGCAGGATACTAGAATGAATCTGGCTAGTATCTTGGACTGATCACCGATTTTTGGCGCACCCCCCTTTTTCTTCTTTTTTGTCTCCACAATTCTCTCTCTCCTTCCATCTATCCCTCTCGCTTTGAAGGGAAAAGAGGAAAGAAACAAAAAAAAACAACCAAAAAAACATTCTAGTTCCTTCTTCATTTCCAAACACCCTTTTCAACGTTCTCGAAGGCATTGGTGTTATCTCATTTGCTTCAATTGGCATTTTAATTGATGGGGTTTGTTTCTTTTTCCCTTTCCCGTTCCATCTGGGGATTTTGAGACCAAGGGGCAACGGGGATGGTGTGGGTATTTCATTTCATTGTTGGAATATTTCATAGGGATTGGGTTATCTTCTTCATTTTCATTCTGGTTTTTTTTTACTCATTTTTCCTTTCTGCAGGTTAACGGCCGAAAGAGTTGGGTTCATCCTTTCACATTGTCAAATAGGGGTTTTTTCATTGTCATCATTCTTGGGCAGGCATGGACGGGACGGACGGCGGTGGGTGGGGGAAACAACATGGGAAACTTGGGTGGATTCCGGGAATGGGATTTTTTTTCCTTTACTTCTTCCCTATTTTATTATTACTCCACCTCATTTGTTTTCTATCACGCTCTCGAAGGGAGAGTTAGTTTTTCATTTGTTTATTATTAGGGATTAGCGGGTTATTTTTTTATTTTTATTTTTTACTTTTATTGGTATTTGGGAATTTCTGTTTTTTTCTTTTCGTTTTCCATTTCTTTTCTTCCCATGCTTGCCATTTCTCGCCTCATGGTCTTTCATTGTGTTTTTCATTCGTCTGAAGCCTTTTTTTCTCCTTCACTTTACTGACCAACATTACTTCACTCGTAATTACTCATTGGCTTTCCAACAAACCTTTCCTTTGTCCGATTCTCTTCATCTTCATCTTCATCTTTCTCCAACAAAGCGGTATATCATAAGGGATTGGGTTTTTATTTTGATTATTTTATTGTCTATTTCATTCGTGCATCTTTTTACTTCCTAAATCGGGGGGAAGGAAGGATGCATGAAGAGAGGAAAATGGGGGTTTTTTCTATCTTTCTGTGTATTTGGGTAGTTTAGGCGTTATTTGGATGGATGGTTGGCTGGTTGGTGGGAAATATCTGACAGGCCGGCATGGGTTTGAAAGCGGGATTTTTGGGAAGGAGAGAGGATGATGTTGGTGGGGAGGAGAGAGAGAGAGAAGGGAGGGGGGGTAATTGTCGTGGTGTGGTTAGGGGGCCGGAGGGGGGGATTTACCGCTATATCGTACCTATTATTATTATTTATTCTGATATTACCACATTTGTCACTTGTAGATCGTAATGTAGGGATTTTGAAAAGTGGTATCCATCTACCCAGAAGTGTATCTATCTCCAAAGTATGAAGACAATATATACATATCAAACCCACGATAGCTTACACCAAGACGCAAGTATCGGAGAGGAGGTACCGAGTATACAAACAAAACAAGATGAATACGAACACCGTCGTCCCAGCCTGCACAAAATAAATAAATAATAATAAGTATCACCGTACCTGCGTAAGTGAGCGCATCGGAGGGTGAAGGGGGTGTGTGTGGGGAAGAACCACGAAGCGAAAGCCGAGTATCACAAGCAAGTATCATCATAATCACGAAATATTCCAAATTCAAGTATCGTACCATTTACCATTTACCATACCGTACCATACCAAGCCTATATCTTTGCGTCAATTGAAACCTTTTTTTTCTTCTTCTTCCACCTCGCCGTTCAACACTCGCCTATCTAGAGGTAGACCTAACACAACTGAACCAACTAACAAACTAACCGCGAAGGGATTTGAGAGACATATGATATACTGTACAAGTACAAGCTCTTTTTTTTTTTCGAAAAGGGGGGGGGGGGTTGGGTGAAGTGGGGAAAAAACAATGGATCGTATGAAGAAAGGTTACTAAGTTAGTGCAAGAGGAGGAGGAGGAGGAGGAAGGGAGAAGGGGTTGTATATCAAAAAGCCTTCCTGAATCGGCGTGATGAGTTCCTTTTCCTGGTTACCTCCTCTAGGAGGAAGAACTTGATCTACGATACTTGTACGATACTTTAAAAAAAAAAAAAAAAAAAAAAAGTGATATGGTATCATACCGGTGTGAGTACAGTACGGTAACTTGTGCTAGCTACACTGCACTGCACTGTGGGGTAACATGAACTCGTATGGTATATCTATATTTATATTTAGAGTGTACTGTACAAGTACAGTACTGCACGCATTCGGTATGATGGAGATGGCTTTGGGAAAATCGATCGGGGGGTGGTCCTTCCCATTCCCATTTCCCATTCCCCTTCCCTTACGGACCCGGTCCAACAAACCTACTAACAAGGTTACGGTACGGTACTCGTACAGTACAAGCAGAGGTTTGGGTGGGTTGGGTTGGGTGGGGAGGTAGGGGAGGTAGGGAAGGTCGGCAAGGGACCGCTACCCAAAACCCAGTTACTAGTATCTAGACTACCTGTCGATGGATCCTGGGACCCTGGCGCGTCGATCATTCTCCATCATACCTTTTTTACTTTTTGATATACTTGAAGATTTGGATAAAAGTGTCATAGAAGGGAGAAAGGGGGGGTGGTTATTTTAGGCTTATTTTAGGGTTTTGGTACTGTAGTGATATTATGGCTTTTATTCCCCCCTTTTTTTTATATTTTTGTATTTTATTTTGCTTTACTTTCTCCCCCTCGCTATGATAAGAAACCTCCCCATCAAAAAAATTCTACACCTTTTTTTTTTGGGTTGCCGTGAATGTGAAAAAAAAGGTACTCGAGTAACAGTACTTTGAGCACTTGTGTGGTAAATTTAGTTTAACCCATTGATGCTGTTGGTTTTTATTCTTTCTTTTTTCCCGTGGTATGCTAAATACAAATATCACTATCCACCCCCCCCCTTTTTTTCTTTCTCTCTTTTCTTTCTCGGTTCTTAACGGACTGATGGGTAGTTTCTTCTTTTCTTTTCTCTTCCCTTTTTTTTTTTTCCTTCTCCCTCAAACAAAAGGTGAAGGTATTTAGGTACCTCTTACTTGGACGATTGGCACTGACGAGTGGTGCGAAATGGAGTGTATATACGACTTTCGAGGCCTCTCCTTCGTGACGGTATATGGATAGAATTCAGAGTATTCTGTTGGCTCCTTCATCCCTCCCCCATCTATTTTGGGGTGTTATTGATATTGCTGCGGTACTATATCATAGTACTGTGAGCACAAGTGCTACTACCTGTTCACGCTCCGGCTCTCCCCGCTATCATAGCTATCCACTGTAGCTAGCTTTGGCTGGATCGGATAAAGGAATGATTGAGTCAAATACGGAAACAGCTGCGGGAGGATTCCTTTTTTTCCCCACCTTTTATTTTGCTTTTATTTTGTTTTGTTTTTCCAATGCCAACGATTCTCTTTTGAGCATGTCAAAGATTAATAATAATTGACTAGTTAGGTTTGGCTTGTAGGGAAGGAGGAGAGGGCTGGGTGGGTTGTATGTACGGGACGAGTACTGTACGAGTGCTGTAGCTTGCTATCCTTACCTAGAAAGCCCTTTTCTGTACTTGCCTTCCCATCACGGTTTAGTTTTGTGGCAGAACCTACCGTAATTCTCTCACTGGGAGTATGCTCAAGAGGGGTGTCTCAGTGAACCCAGGCTTTCCCTTCCTCTGACTTTTGCTTTTGTGTCCTCAGTGTGCTTGTTGCCAGTGTTCCTGGACTGCACAGCGACGTACGATATCATACATGCGGGTAGATGGTGATTAGAAACTTAATGATTTGGTCACCCAAATACATCTCGTTTCCCCTTTCACTCTTACCTTTTTTCCTCCCCCCCCGCCCGCCCTCCCTCGCAGCGCTGTGGGTGCCATTCTGTAGATGTATAAACCTCATATCTTCCTCGTCTGCGTCTTTAGGCAACGCATTTGGAGGGGCTGCCGATTAGGCGTTTCCTCTTCCCATCGGCTCCCGTTACCTAGCAGGAGCGTTTCAAGCAGCAAATCATCCGACCTAGAGTGACACTTGCTTTCTCCATTTGGGAGGGCTGGTCGTTATCAGAATCCCCAAGCACCTTTACAATTTAAATAATAATAGAGTGATGAATGAAAAAAAAGAAGTAAAGCCGTTGGAGGGTACAGGGAAAGTGAACGGCGAACAGACGAACACCGCAGAACATCACGAATTCCTAAGTATTTAGGAAGTGATCTTCCTACCCATCCCTCCCTCTCCCCTCCCCGCCAACTGCCCGATGTTATGCAGAGGTTGGGGGAACAGGATGGTGAAGTACTGGAGTAGGGGTTGAGCAAGAGCTTCGTCAAACAAAAATAAATTATTTTGATGCAAAGGCCAACGCACAACACGTCGTGCCTTGTCTTGTCTCGTTCCTTTGCCCTATCCTATCCGCTCACACCCACCTCCCCAGACGTGATGTGTGCGAGTGGGTGTGGATCAGAAAAGAACGTTATTTATTTTTTTCTGAACGGCGAGCGCTGGTAACCCTGGGCCCTCTGGTGGACGTGGACAACAGATCGGGGTGAGGGAGGGGGAGTTCCCGCTGCCCGTTCTGCATACATACTCGTCTTGTTTTGCCCGTTCAATTGAAATTCCCCCCACCCCACCCCCACGGCTCCATAGAGGGAGAAACACAGCTGAATGCCTAATATCTGCCATCAAACGATAGGCCAAGAACGGCACTGATGGCTGGTGCGTGCTTCCCGTCAACTAACCCCCAAGATGAATTCGGACCCCGCGTGCCGAAAGGGATAGTGTGCGCACAGCGAAGAGAGAGTTGCCGGAGGGGAGGAATGGAGTATTTTCCCGTTTTTTCCTTCGCGGGGATTGATGCTGGGGCATGGAGCCGAACTGGGCTACGTAGCTCCAGGGTCCGCAAGGATTTGTTCTCTTCGAACCAGGTCTGGTTGATTGGGTTTGAGATCCTCGGGTCGGCAGTCAGCGGGCGTTTTTTTTTTCATTTCACTCTTTTCTTCGCTCCTCCGTGCATTTTTTTCTGACCCGCCAACAGGAACGCCGCCTGGTGGAAAGGTCAGCCACTTCTAACCTGGGGGTACTTTTGAGGCCCGAATTGTATGTAGGTTTCTTCATCGTCTCCTTATTTGCTTTGTCGTCCGCCCTCATTTCCCATCGTATGTATTTTAAGTAACCAACATTATATACCCCCCATGAACTATATGATGCTCGTCTGTTCAGTTCATCTCTGACCGACTGGGATTCCGCGGATTGCGCCAAATGGATCCACGGTTGGAGCCTTGCTGCTTGCTTCACCAGGGAGAAGGGACAGAAAATAAGAATCGCCGCCCGGGCCCGAAACATGGATCATAACGAGTCACCCCCTATCCAGGTCCCGTGCGACCGTGGATCTTATTAATAAATTGCGTTTGTTAAAAAACAAACAATGAATAAATGGAGCTCGCGCTCCCGCTTTTATTATTATTATTATTATTATTATTGTTTCTCCTTCCGAGCGGCAATGACCGTGTTAACCGTGGGCAAAGCAAAGGCCGTGTACCGCATTGTCAACCACAGTTGGAAAGATCGTTCTGCGCGCGCTTTCTTGCTCCTCTGCTGTTTTTCCTTTTTTTCCTTCCGTTCCTACCGTATTCTCATTGCCTTTTTGCCTAGTCGCCTAGAATTGACCTTCTCACCCCCCCTTTATTTTCTGCCCCCATTGTGCTACGGAGGTGCGGAGTAGTAATGGGCAAGGCCCGTGAGCATCTTCATCGGCTTTTCCCCTGCATTAGCATTTCTTCTTTGGGGGAAGGTCTAACTGGCTGAACCCAGTTTCTGGGTCACCGTGCTCTGTCATCCCGCCAAGTTGTACTGTCCTAGAGTGACAGGATGTACTCGAGTACGAGTACTGAAGCAAAACTGTGCTGTAGCCTCCATTTGCGGGATCGGCTAACGTCTAGTGCCCGCTTTCCGATTGAGCGAGATGAGAAGATTCGGGAATGAGAGGAACAGCGTCCTTTTCCTCTTTTCTGCCGGATCTCTTTCTTCGTGTTGCGGTTGTTTGTCGTCGGACAAAGTCAAGCTATGTCCCTGCCCTCTCCTCCTTCCGCTCCGACGCGGTACGGATCGTGGGGTTGTGTCTGTCTGACAAAGCAGGTTGGCTGGTAGAAAAAGAAAAAGCCAAGACTTTCGGCACTAGATTTTAGCAGCCACTGGGCATAGCCCGGCAACCAAGCCAATATAACCTTTTCGTGAGAATTTTCTGCCTTGAGAAAGGGCTTTTTCCTGCGGCTTCAAGAGGGATAACTACGGGTGGTGAACATAATAATTTCCAGTCCTAGGAAGCTATATTTGAGAGTAGTGCTGCCACTGGCGCAGGCCACGAATTTTCTCTTTTTGTGGAAGCACTGCGAATAGTGAAGAATGGAATTAGCTGAATTGTTAAAAAGAGGCTGTCTAATGTGGCTTTATTATTAGGCACATGCTATTTCCCAATACGCGAGAGGCTTTGCGGTAGATGTGGTTTTTCATTCTCGCTTTGAGAGGTACTCGAGGTTGGGAATCGGGAGATAATAGGAAGGCTTTGCCCCCAATGTTTCTGCTAGCGGCATCTGCCATTGAGTTCTCTTATCAAAGAGGTATGGGGCAAATTTTCATTTCCGATACTGGTATGTCCTCGTGATCAAAATAGATCAAGTGCAGACTTCAGCCCCTCTATTTCGCCGCCGAGAAGCCCATTGTAGTAATAGAATGCATAGATATATCAATGCAAACTATACGGTAGCCTTAGAACCAACATTTTCACCCGAGTGCTGCTTCCACCGATGTATCGATGTATTGCACAAGCTTCTGCATTTTTGTGGACATCCTTTCGCTAACGGTAAGGCAGTTCATGGCCCCTCATCCATTGTGATTACACTTCAAAAAACTGCCCAGTTAGCCTTGGCCATCGACGCCTTCTCCTCAAGTCTGCTTCCTGCGTGCCGTTACTTCATGCACTCGACTACCAGTCATACCCGATGCTACCATCACCGAAATAAGCATCGATCAAGCTTGGTGGTGTTTCAGGGGTGATGGTAGGCTCAGATGTCTTCCCTAGCCATGTATTTTGCAGCTTTCTGTGGTCTTTTTCTTTTCTTTTCTTCCCTTGCAAGGGTGGATGGATCGTGTTGAGTGGGGATTCGTGATTTTCATGCGCCGCCGAACATTAGATCTTCGGCGGGGTAGCATATCTGGTCTAGTCGAGTAGAGATTCCCGGAAGGTCGTGTGTAATTATTATTGCTTATACAAGGGTCACGCGCCTGAGTAGTCATAAATAGGACTTAAACCCTTGAATGCCTTTCTTCAGTCGTTGGAATAGATGTGGGGATGGACTAAACTGTGGAGGATCTACAAGGTTTATCAGAGAGGTTGGTAAGACCTCTTTCTGTTTCTGGCCCTATCGAAGCTTGGTTGTGCACCACCACCACCAGTCATCGCCATCACTCGATCTCATCATTACTCGGGTATGGACGTGGGTGACCGGACAGCTAGGGGTTGGGGGCGTCAAAGCTTCTTGGCTGTTTGAACGGGATTCATGCCAAATTTGTTCTTCCATTTCCTATGAGGGTAGCAAGTTCAGGCCTCCGGGACTTCTGGATGTCCGGCCTCGCACGCCCACACCTGGGTACACATCTGGACGTAGTAAGGTCATGTACCGTAGCTCACTCTCTGACGATGGGTCTTTTATTATTATTCGCTTTTTAAAAATTCCTTTGGCGATGTAATGCGGGGGGGTCTGTGGTGCCGGCAGATACTAGTGTCTTTGTTGGCGAGAAGTCCGAAGCACTAGTACACCGCCAGAACCGTATCGTGCCATAAATATCCTGCGCTTCGTCATAGGCGACCTCAAGAATGCTTGGCTTACCTCTCTTCAAAAATTGACTTTCGGATTTCGCCCAAGTAGGAATCTCGGCGTTGAGACCAGCGGGTTTCATTTCTGTTAACTATTTATCACTAACCCAAAGTTACCTAGACTTAGCGCCTAGCCTAGCACTTGACAGCAGTCCTGGGAAGCCTTCGGTCAATATCGTAGCGATATCAGAAAACGTTGGCGGGAATCGCCCTCCTGATGTGGAAATTTTGCCGTCATGGCGGGGCTCGAACGTTTTTTGTTTTGTTTCAATCGGCACAAAGGGCACAATACATCATGGGGAACGATAGTTTTAGTGCTCTTTGGACCATGGTACCTAGAATTTGATACCACATTAATAGCTACCGAGGCTAGGCTGACCATCGGTGTACTGGGTATGTTCTATCTCACCTACTATGTACTGTACGGTGTGTATGTTCCTTCGGCCGTATGCTACAAGTAGAAGTCGCAAGGTGGGTATTCCTCGCTTCCGGGTTAGACCTATATGGGTAAAGGTAGTGAAGCTGAGACATAGCTAATGGTATCACACTCGAGTAATGACTTTATCGTAGTATTTACACCTTAGCATCAATAATGCATGGCTTTATAGATAATCAGGGTACCAGGTTAGGGCTTGCACTGGATTCTGTTCGGGTGCCTGGGTTTCGTAAGCAGCCTATAATCACGGCATACCGGTACCGGTATTGCTTATGGCATGATACCTGAACCATTGCACTGGATAACAACTTTTATTTTGGCATTTGACTCAGCCCGAGTTGAATTGGCTTGGCAGATGTTGTTCGAAAGCATATGATTAGATGAATAAGCGGTCGGTCCGACGACAGCTCTCTTTTTCTGGTAGTTTAACCTTATTGCGCACTTTGCATTTCCTGGAACGGGTTATTACATAAGCAGCCGTGGCATACCATCGATCAACCCAGGGCTCATTTTGTTGTCGGCCTGCCTCTCCATAATTTTACGCGAGACTTTCGCGGTGTCTAGACCCCGAGACCTCAACTCCAGGCCCTGTGAACTCGACATCAAGGTTTGCCCCCTTCACCTTTATCACCACCATCACCACCCCCTTCTTTGCTACATCGTCTCACTTTCAAAATATAGTAATTGCGCAGCGCTCCCTTAATTCTCTTCTGCATAAAAAACGACTACGGCGGCCTTGTTTTTCTGTCTGTTTTTTGTTAATATTTCCCTTACCCCCTTTGGTTACCCCTTTGATTCCAGCCTCTTTCGATCCCTTGCTTCCTACGATTCCCGCTTTTGAACCCATACTCCCCTCATCGCAATGAATACCGGTGGAGAGGAACAACGGTAAGTCTCTCTTGCCACTCCTTTCCGCTTTCTAGTCCTCTAAATCATCTTTATTTATCCCTCCCCCGCCTCAAAAGATTTATCACGTATCAGCCCCGCTATGGCGGTTAGAAGGGATTGAAAGGGACAGGGTGGGCATTGCCCACCACCGCTACCGCATACACACATGTTTTCACCCGCACATACACCCTATCACAATCGGGCACCCCCTTCTTCCCATCACTTGTTTGCCGACATATTCGCACCTTCTTGAAGGGTATAATTCTAGCGAGAGAGACCAGCACTAACGCATGGCTGCCCTTCCCGGCTTCAAATAGTTGGCGCCATTCACGCACGCAGCAACAGTCTTCGCAGCAACGATCACAGGGCGGAGGCGGGCAACGCCGGAATGTCGGTGGAAGCTCTGGCAGTAATGGGAGCAATGCCTGGCAAAATTCGAATCAGCAACAGATGCCGCCTGTATATGCGGAAGCTCATGTTCCCGTGAGGGCATTCAATGGTAAAGAAGTTGAGGATTTCTTGAGCCGTGGTAAGTCTTTTTGTTTTGTTTATTCTGTGGGGGTAGAGCTTGATAACGTTCGTCCCATGTTTTTCTTATCCCGTTCTTTTTTCTTTTTCTTTTTTTTCTTTTCTTTTGCTCCCTTATCTTTGATTATTTTTGCCCAGAAGGAAAGCGCGATTCTTGGCTTGGGATTTTTGTCGTCTATATCACTTCGTCACCTTGGGACTTTTTCCAAGAGTAGTTCGGAGCCAGATACCCCCCTCAATAGCTTGTTACCCGCGCACCCCCGCCACCTCTCTGCTTTGACACAAGAGATGCTTCGAATCCCCCCCATCCCGTGTCAAATTGTTCACGGAGCGGAAGATTATGTCGGACCATTCTTTGTGTTTCCTCTCGACCTGCGCACCACCAGCTACAGTATTGTGTTACTTACGCGTTCCTTTACCCTTTTCTGAATTCTGTATGACACGCCTTCGAAGAGAAGGGTCCTTGTTTCTATCAATGGGTTTATTCCATGTGCTTGGGAAGGGACGGAACCAAGGGCCTCGGAGGGACCGTATAAGGTTGTGCTGTTGCATACAGCCTGTGGCTGGCGGCTATCTCCTTGTCGATTTTCTGTGCCCCCGCAACCCAACGAGGTGCTGCGGTTCAGAGAACCAATACTAAGGGATGGTAACATTCAATTATTGATGGAAGCTTCCCTCCAGGCTTGTCTCTATATCGGGGATCCCTCCTATTGTTCCATTTTCCCATCTGTTTCTGCTCTGTCCACGTGTTCCTCTAAGATCTATGGCTTTAGTCAAAAAATTTCCCTCGATTGGTGGGTCGCGGATTTGTTTGCCTGGGGCATTTGACTAATGTTTTATACCTATATTTTAGCCTACGAGAAGGAGGTGTTCGCCGCAAAACAGAGTGGTGATCAAGGTCTGTTCTTGTGTTCTCATACCAGTCGCTTTTATTATTTGTTTTTTTTTTCCTTCAGATTTCGATAGGTTTTACCTTACTTTAAAATCCTCCTTGCTGGGCGTTTTCTGTCCCATTCCGGAAGCATGCGGAGGGAAGAGAAAACGGTTTTCAGCTTACTCCAGTGCACCGGTAACCGGATTTGCGGGATCCGCGCCGTTTGGTTTTGCTCATCCCACGCCACTTTACCCTTTTCCCACCAAAATTATACCTTTTTTTCTTTTTCTCCTCTCTTCATTTGTTTCAAACCCCTCTTGCGCCTTTCATGCATGAGTGAATTTATCGGGTTGTACTCATTGGGGATGTTTTGGAAGCTAACAATTGAATGACAACTGGTCACAGGTCAGAAGCCCATCATATACAAATCGGACAAGGGCTGGTCCACTCCTAAGAGTGGTGGAGCTTGGGGTTCGAGACGTTCGTATACCCGGCTATTGTATTTCCCTTTTTTTGGGGATAGTGGACACGAGGCTGACTTGAACTAGCAAACGCCATGGCGTCCGGTTCGAATTTTGTTAGCCAGCTTAGGAGAGGTCAGGCGGCATTGCAGCAAGGCTCCGGTAAAGAGTAGAAAAGTCGTTATCAGTGGGGTGGATGGAAAACGGTCTTGCATTTAGTGTCTGTAAGTTTGTGTGTGGGGGGGGGGGTGAGTTGAAGAAAATTTGTGCGTTGTGGGTAGTGCAAGTGTGCATGTGCGAACGGTGTCAAACAAACTTCCTTTTCATGTCGGGGCAAGCAAACAAGCAAGCAAACAAACAATTCCGAATATCGTAATGATGGCTCTGTAATTTCTGTACGATACAAGTACCGTACTCGTAAAGGAAGGGGAGTTCAGTTTTCTTTTTTCTTTTTCTTTTTCTTTTTCCATTCCCTTTCCTTTACTTTTTTTCCAGGGACGGATGAAGGAAAAAGTTTACTCTGGTGTGTTACTCGTATCGACATGGAAAGGAGTGGTTGTAATGGGCATAGGAAACTACTCGTACGGTAACGAATTGGCATGATATTTTTTTTACGACTTGTATCACAAAATCATATCATAATAATATGGCATTATATCGGCATGATATACTTGGAGAGCGGAGGTTGATGGTTGGGAGCGGTTGCGTGAGGCAGTTTGATGAGCCCGTAGACTATATAGCACGGGTATAATACGGCATGCGGGCTCGCTAAGCTAAAGTATAATATTACCCAACGATGATCAATCGCTTTATCAGTGGTAACTGGATCGAACACGGGAATCCCAACCACTGGAATTGCTTAACGTGGGGTTATATGATCTCTGGTTTTAGGTTAGTCCCTCCCTGATTCCTCCAGATGCCCGCAGCACATCACAGGGCGGAGTAGCAACCTACGAGCATCGTACTCGGGTGTGACGATAAAAGTCGGAGAATATAACCCTTGCCCCCCCACACTCGTGGAGGTTTGTATGGCATCAGCGGGGGATAGATTTCCGGATTCCCTTAAGTTTACTGATGCGCCCGAGCACTTGAACGGCGTTGGTATGATAGAGTATGATAAAGAGTACTCGAGTACAATCCTGCACTCGCCCGGTTTGGTAGGCTGGTTTAACTGTATGCTGAGCAGGACAGTTACAGCGCGTGCAGCACTGTGCTGTACTGTACCGTATACTCCCCTAGTTCATCCCACAACAAAGAGGCGCAAACCATTGGTGAGAGAAAAAAAAGAGGGCTCAATCCTCTTCCTCCCTCCCCTTTGTAAGAGTCAATGATCCAGGAGGGAGGGGCGAACTAGGAATGAACAATACGGTAGCTTAACGAATGGGATGTTGGTTTCTCCCCTCCCCAATGTGGTGGAAGTGAGTCATGTTATGTAGCCGGTATGTGCGATACCGCGCCGAAGTCTTCCCGCGAACAATAGGGCAGCATCGTAAGTTACCAAGTCAGAAGTGGATAAATAGATAGATAAATGGATAGATGGGAACCCACAACTAAGCAAGCACCGGTTATGATACGGTACAAGTACAGGCACGGCACCGGAACCGCACGGTCACGGTGCGTCGAGGATATCAGCACAGTGCCGTGTGCAGTCTGTGTTTCTCGAGTAGACTTAACCATCATAGCAAGCAAGCAAGCTTTCCTGCGCAGCATCATGTGTTACGGTACCGGGAAAATCTAATTCCGATACCCCATACTTCCGCTTCGGTATACCGGCATTCCGCGTATGCCGGGGGGGTCCCCCCGTTTTTTTTTTTTTGGGGGGGGGGGTCAAAAAAGAAAAAACTCATCTGATATGGTACGATAATATGATACTGTAACCGTTCCCGTTCTTCTGATTCGGGTCGGGTCGGTCGGTCAGTCGGTCGGTCGGTTGGTTGGTTGGTCTACTCGTACTGGTATGATGCAAATTATGGTAACCGACCGGTTCCCCGGATCTTGGATGTTTTTCTGGATTGGTGTGCGGTATGGTAAAAGTACCGTAGTCCAGTTTAGTCCGGGGTTGGTGCTCAGGGTGCTCGAGTAGGGCTGGGGGGGGCGGGGTTCAAGCGAGGTATGTATGGTGCGAAAGAGGGCAGGGAAGGGGGGGGGGGAAGAAGTGCTACAGTATGGTACCGTACCGTACTCGAGTATTATGGTGGTGGCACGGTACGGGAACTCTTACAGGTGTGATATGGCATGAGTGGACTAGTCGCCGATGCTAGTTGGGCTGTCGGTCGGCTTGGGTTATGCACAAGCGAGTGCTGTGCGAATACTTTGTCGTGATGGGGTTCGCTGGCTGGCTGGCTGGGCTGGGTTGGGCTTTGCTGACTGGCTTGCTGTGGAATTGGAATTGGAATTGGACGACGTTGGCGGGGGGAGGTGGGTCTTTGATAGAGGATTTTTTTTGTAGGGTACCGTACCGTATGATACTGGAACCGTATGCACGGCACCGGTAGTATCACACTGTAAGTTGTCCACCGGGACGGTAAATTGTTTGGGGTGGTGGTGGTGGTGGTGACATTTTTATTTGTTTATCTAGTACTGTACCGTACGGTAGGTCAGTATCGTACGGGTAACAGTGCCATACCCACATGCGAACAGGTATGATATGATGGAGTGCCGCCAGGTACGGTACGCGGTGAAATCTTCCTCCACCATCTAATTACGATATCCATCTAGCAAGCAAACAATCAAACTGGTAAGTTAGCCCACAATTGTGCACTTCCCTTCTTCCACCATTTGCTGTCCAACTCTTTCCTCCCTCTTCCTTCCCTTCCCTTCCCTTCCCTTCCGGGATTAAGTACCGATACATGCAAGTAACCGATAAATCCCCTTCCACGGGATTCACCTTACCACGAGAAGCACTACCATTAGCACATTACGAAGTATCTTGCCTCCCCCCCCCCCACCCTCCTCCGAACAGATACAAACCGCCGGGGTCACCAAGTCAATCACAATGTCTCAGGGGAAAAAGAAAAAATAATTAAAAATTCCACCGATGATATGATGCATATATCACAGTGTTTCTTTTCCCTTTCATTCCCCCCTTCTTAACTGTACGGTAGCCTATTAGTATGGTACTTGACTTACCATTCGAGTGCTTGCAAGTTAAAAGTATTAATAGTAGTAACTTCCGCACCCCCCCCCCCTTCTCCGCTCACTTCCCCATCCCAAGATCCACCTACTCAGCATTCAGCTGAGGCAAGTGCCACCACCACCGTCACGCCAACCCACCAGCCCGCCCATCCCGCCAATGGAGGAAAGAAAGAAAGCGAAAGGGAAGAGAAAAAAAAAAGTTCTAACAGCGGGAGCAAATTTTTTTTTTGACCGAATAGAGTAATCTGCATACATATCTCGGTAGCACGAAAGACGCCGACGCCAGATGCGGTCGGTCGGCATATCGGTAGTTCCTTTCCTCTTTTTTTTTTTTTTTTAACCTTCTCTTTACCCCCTCACCCCCCCCCCCACCCTTCTGCGTACTTTGTTGCGTTGTGCTGTGCTGTGCTGTGCTGTGCTAGAGTGGGCTTGTACGAGAACTGTACCTGTACCTGTATGGTACCGGTACTGTACTTGTATTAATAGGTTGTGGAACGTTTCATTTCATATATTTTTTTAATAAATGAATTCGGGGCATGGTACGTTGCATTTCCGGCGCCGGTAGGCTGGTTGGGTTCATGTACCGTATACGGTATGCCAAGTATGATAATAGGATGCTGTTGGGGTCTGGGCGTGAATGTCGAGTGAGGGGTTGTGATGAGAGGTAAGTGTATCTCGAGCCGATGGTGTTGGTGTGTGGTGGTGGGGTTGAGTTTGCGGGGTTTTGTTTGGTAGGTAGATAATCAGTGTTTTGCTTTGACTGATGTGTGGGGAGAATTTTGGTGAGTTTTATCTACAGTGCTCGTACTCGTACATCATACGCTACAGGAAAGAAGGGGGGGGTTTTCTTCTAACTTTTTTTATGATAACTCCTTTTCTTATGTACCGGTACAAGAAACATGACTAATCCTCTTTCCTGTCTTTTGACTTGACTTGACTCGTCCTGTCTAGGCTTGTCTTAGGTGGGAGGTGGGGGCAGATTAACACATTCGCCCCACCCTCCAATCATTTGAAACATTCTTGTTTCTCCTTCTCTCTCTCTCCCGATTGGAAGGGGTCGGAACTGGATACGGTACCGGTATGGTGAAAGGAAAAAAAAAGAAAAAGAGGGATTCGGGATCCCCTCTTGTGGCATTATGAAATTGTGGAGAGGGGCGTTTTACCCTCCAGTTTCTCACCTATCGCGCTGGAGACTTGGGCGACGGGTGGGCGAGTGAGTGAGCGGGCGGGTGGGTGGGTGATGTCCTGTGCACGAGTAAGAATGGTGTATGATTATTATTGCGGTGCTGGGAGATGGATATCCCGCTGCAGGTAGGTGAGTACCCGGACGGAAAGGGAAGGTAAGCTAAGTTAGGTGGTGGTGGTGGTGATTTTTTATTTTTTCTTTGTCTCTCGTTTTGTTATTCTGTCCTGGGTAGGAAAATGAAGACCGGAAGGGGGATAAAAGCAAATTATTTCTTCCTTGCTCTTTTTCCTCTCTTTGTTTCTCCCTGGCGTGGGTGAGGAGCTGACAAGTTATGGTACACCTCTTAACGGGAAAAAAAAGTATCGATACAGTAACTGCTGATTTTTTTTTTGGTGATGTGTAGCGTTCTTACCCTATCAAAACCGCGCATATCACCCCCTTCGGAATACGCATAATTCAAGTAAAAGATAGAAATAGAAAGGGCAAGATTTTCTGGTCTACTGACTTTAGTTTTTTTATTTTTTTATTTTTGTTCCCTTTCTAATGAGGATGGTTTAACTCATGAATGAAATAAATCAACCCCCCCCCCTCCACCCTCCAAACCACTTCCCCATGAACCCACCTCTGCCCAATACACTCTTGTCTGTATGTCTCATCACGCAGACCGTTTTACCGGCCTATCCCAGAGTGAAAAAAAAATAAAAGCAAGTTAAAAAAAGGTCTCACAATAGCAATTTAGGGGTCCATCACAGCACACCAAGCATCCACACCCAAGGATTCCTCGCCAGGATAAGTAGGAGTCTAGTGAGAAAGTGGGGTTGAGGAATCGTGAAAATCGAACGAATGATTGACGGCGGCATCCCCCCCTCCTCCTTTATACCATTTTTCCACTTCCTACGCTTTTGATTCCAGTCTGGGTGTGGGTGGATGGGTGTGCATGTGTCAGGTGGTGGTTGCAGTGGCAGTGGCAGTGGTTGTGGTGTGTATCGCGAAGGATGGGGATGAGGATGTGGCAGCGGTAGTAGTGGAAGATGAGGATGGGTCAGGCTCCGGGTCTGATTTAGCAGCTGGTGCGAGTTCGCATTTTTCTGCTCTGAGGATCTTTTGACAAATGGCCCGCGATAACTCTATCTTGGATAGTTCCTTGAAGCGTTCAGCCACGAAGCGAAATTTTTCGCTCCCTTCTACCTCTCGTTTTGCTTGCCGGAGATGCTCGAGCTGTGACTCAAGAGTGTTAGTTAGCCCGGGACACCCACCGGATCGAGAAAAATTAAAAAAGAAAAGAGAATGAAGAGGAAGCTGGACCTGGAGTAGGGGTACGAAGACTTGAGGGAGAGTTCTAGGGTGGGCGGGGGAGGTGGGTAGGAGAAGGGAGGAAGGGGCGGGAGGGGAGAAGAAGTGCAAACCTGCTCCGGAGTGAGTTCGACAGTCCTGTCCTTGAGTACCTTCTGGTACCTCAACCTAACCGCGGTTAGTGTCCGAGCCTTACCGCCGTCTTTGAGAAAGTTAACGGCGTTTGTGATTTCCTGCCAGCTTTTATTCTTCTTTCTGCCGTCGAGAATTATATCGTCCTCGGGCTGAGTCCAGCCCCCCTTGGGATTGTTCGTCCTCGCTCGAGGTTTCCTTTTTTTCGTTACCGCCTCCGCCGGTAAAGGTCCGCTTTCCGCCACAAGAGCAAGGAGGCCCCTACCATCACTTCCTGATCACCTCGAAACATCATCAGATTCCGCCTTCAGTTTGAGCGCCACCCATCTCAATTGGAGAGTGATTAATAGAATTAGGGAGATAGAACATGAGGGGAAGAGAGGGGAAGGGGTGAGGGGAAGAAGGGAAGAAGGTCGAGAAATCCACACCTTTGCAATCACCGCCACCACCGCCATCACCATTTATTCTCTGCCCAACACCTCCATCAACTCTACCGCTCTCACGTTTGCAAGCCGAAGCACCAACCTCAACACCATCAACCAATGCTTGTAAGTCTCTCTCGTCCATGACTTATTCGAACCTACTTTCCTTCAACAGACCCAACTTAACCATGATATAAAACCCCCTAATCAAAGTTTGCCCTCGACAAACCCCAAAAACAAGCCCACCCAACAACCCCCCCCCCTTCCACCCATGCGGGCCTCGAGACCGGGTAGTTTATTGGCTGAAACCAAGTTTGCGTGCCATGTACAAACGGGCTCGAAGGGAAGTTTAACTATTTGCGATGCATTTTTTTTAAACCCCGGTTTGATAGTCGAGTGAGAGAATGTGATGGCACCGAGCACCGGGGTTGGGTAAATAGGTTTGTGGAGTACGGGATGGGAGAAGGCGGGGACAAACCGGCCTTTGGTGTGTTGTGTATTTGGCTGGTTTGTTTATTTGTATTCCCTTTTGGCCGATCGGCTGTTGGGAGCTGGGTGGTCCCGCATGGGGAAGTACGGGACAGTATCGCACGATGTCATAACTATGGTAAAGGGGTAACTGCTAAATGCCGGTTCATGGCCACTGATCTTGGGACGAGATTCTTATGGACGCTAGTGGAATTAAGTTTGTCCATCGGAACTTGCTCTGCTGTCCATGTATCCCATTTAGCGGGTTGGATATTTTTAGTAGAGTTCATGCAGTAAATATTGACGACATTCTTATATCACCCGATACAGTGGAATGCAGAACCCCTCCTTGAGCACCCCCTTGCTCAGCACCCGGCACCATTGCGGATAGGCAGCCGTACTCGACTCCCGTAGACACTGTTTGCCTGGTGAGTGAGGAAGAAAAACAGTACACAAACCTCCAACACCTTAACCCTGGAGCCAAATACCAGTATGATAATTCAAATAGTTTCAGCCACCAAAACTTTCCATTCCCTTTGCGATTCCTCCATTGCAGGGGTTTCTCCCGCTGGCTCGTATTGCCTTCCTCCCGGATTGTCATTGAGGCCATGGTTTGGATCCCGCGAGATTGTAGCTAAATTTGATTGAAAGTACGGATCCGGGTAGAAGTGCACTTCCGGGCCGCGATGAACTTATCTTTTCTCACTGGAAGTTGAGTGGGTTTGTGTTGAGTTCGCGACGGATGCTCCAGGGAGATTACTCGGCGGGTAGAGGAGTTTTAGGATGAGTAGCTACAGTATACCCGCTGGGCTGCAGTTTCCATGCGAAGATGGAAGGATGGAAGGGAACCGATATTTTATACCGACCCTGGCAGTCTTGGTGTTTGGAGTGTTTGTTTTTTTAGCAGGGCTCAATCATTTTTAAGAACTCGGTTGGACCGGAGCTACCGAGTTTGTTGGACTGGTAGGCCCACCGGGGGCTCCGTTTTTCTCTGGTAGTTTCTACGAAAAAGGCTAGGTTTTGCGAACCTGGTGGACTGGAGCGAGGGGAAGGTGGTGCGCTTAGCTAATAGCAAAGAGATAGAAGAGACATACGAGAAGTACTAACTCATCGGCTCTCACTCGAAGACGCCAGCGGTGGGGGTGGATTTCCCGTGGCAGGGTCGTAGCTATGAACATTAAGCCCTTCCTTCGTGCAGGGTGTAGGTGGATAGGATAAGGCATGATTTTGGCGTTGGGCGTGTCAACATGAGGGGCCCTAATGCAAAGCGGGAATTCATGGGACGTTGGAGGTGGGAAAAAATCTCCTTTCACCTTCCGTGAAAACCTCCGACTTCCCCTTACGGCGGTGTGCTTGTATATAGCTCGGAGATATCGCATGATCTACGCAAAAGATACTGTGCTGCCGGATTAGCCAAGTCGCTGTATCTGGTACCTCTAAGTGATCTCTGCCCCCGCTCTCGTTGAATATTTCGACCGATCCCAAACCTCTTGCTTGGGGTTGCTTCTGAATTCTATAGTCATGGGGCTAAAACTCAGCGATCATGAGGATTTTATGCCGTGGGGTTCCCGAATCCCCCAGTGGTGTACTTGGTATCATAAAAAGTGGTGACCGAATGTTTAAATTATATGATTGTAAACGCATTCATAAAATTTCGCATGGACTGCAGTCCTCTCATGGAAGCTGAACCACATTCTAGATATACTACTAGGTTGGCTGGAGTAGCTCCGGATTAGGCTTACATTGCACTTAGGTATCATCTATTGTTCGTGATTGTGAATAAAGACACTTTGGCCAAACCTAGTTCCAACTGAGGGGACTGTGATCGTCCGATTTTTTCTGTTCGAGCAACAGTGGCTCTTAGGTGGGCTCGCTGAAGAGTCCGTTGAGGTCCATCTCTATATTGGCTGACCCCCCCAGCTCTATACTCCCCGGCTCACTGGGTCTTGTGCAACTGTAACTCCACTAGTTTCTGCCACCAGCATGGTGACCTGATTATTCCACATCCAACCGCCCCGCCCCCCACCTCCCTTGACGCGGAATCTGCACAGAACTTGGAGAACCAAAGTTGACACATGCTGACTCGTGTTGGGTATGATACTAGACTCTTGTCCTCAAGAATACCAGGAGACTGGCTTGATCAAAGGCTCATCCCGAGGACCATACCATATAATGTACCTGAAAAGCGGGAGCTATTCGGAGCTCTATGTGTACATTTCCAAAATGCGGTAATCCAATTGATGAATCTTTTTCTTTTTTCTACATTCAGATACCCCCGACGTGTCTCTGAGTGTTTATCATCCGGAGTGTATCACTAATACCCTCAACCGGTCAACGAGAAAGATACTGCAAGTAACTTTACCTCCCGCTGTTATCTACCCCTTGATGTGCAGTTCTACACTATGAGCTATTTACGCACGCTTACCATATCCTATCGAAGGTGTGTGTGGCACTGTGTGCGTGTGTGTGTGTGGCATGGGTACACTTGCCTGAAAACTAAGATTTTTTTCGCCTATGTATGGTTCTGGGCTGGCCACTCCTCTTCCCAATTGTAGATCATGGGGCACTTGTGTCAGAACGAGTGATGATAGCGGTATGGCCATGTTCTATCCTCTGAGACACAGAAGATCCGGGATTTTCCGTGTAATAACCTGCTAGCAATTCTTTTTTTTTCTTTCCCGGAGGTTTTCAGTGGATCGGGGATGAACGTCTATATCATTCCAGCTTCCTGGATGGGACCTATGGTATTTCTTCTGGGTGGTGGCATGATAAGTGGAAAGCTCTGTGGTTCGCATGAAATGTGGAATAGGAACGTCTGATGCCTGGGCCCTAAAATGTATATCCTGCCGGGTAGGTCTGTGAGAAGGATGATGGCTTCGATGCGTGGACTCGTCACAGCAATTGGGAGCCTGGTCATTAGCTTGGATTTCATTTTACCAGAGAACAAACCTTCAATGCGACCCCACGAGAATAATTAGTTTGGATTTACTCGAGCCTGTCCGACCCCGACTACGAGGATACCTTGTGAGAAGATTAGCCCTCTCCCTTCTAGAGAACACCCAGTTTATTTGTGATACCGTATTTGGGGTAAGACTGAGTCTGTGAGTGACAAAACCAAAGTTTCGCAGAGTTCTATACGAGTCCCAACCACTCTCGGACGCCAAGTTTTCTAATATGTTGTATGCGCACCCTCAGACTCAGTCTCACCCCAAATGAGAACCGAATAAACTGAGATCTACGCTAAAATATGCAGAGGACCCCTCTTTGGATAAAGGTGGGGACTCGCATCGAGAAAAGAAAAAAAAAACTCTGGCTTTCCCCCCCTCCGCGGAGACAGATAAAAAGAAAAATACGAAAAGACCTTACCGTGCTAAGAGAGGCAGCTCAAACGTCCTGTTGTTACAGTACCTACCGTATCTAATCCGTTACGGGGGTCCACGACGGTTGGTGGAATTCTGCTGCCCTACCAGTCGCCTGATTTTGACGAGCGCCTCTCCGGTTTGGGTGATCAAAGATTAGTTGATTATAGGACGTGATTATTTGGGGAGTAGGCGGAAGTGGCGTTCGGAAACTCAGAAACGGGCATTCCGAAGTGATGTGCAGAACCATCCCTTACCAATCGTCCGGTTGCTGAGTTCCATGTCACTCGGTGGAGCTCTATTGCTAGACATGTTCATAGACTATCACTCGGGATTATTATTATTATTGTACACTCTCTTGCCCCTCAAGGCTCATTTCTTCGGATTCTCACTATCTACTTGGTAAGGAGACCCCTTTGCGCTCTCAAATGTTTCACTGACGTCCTTTAGTTTGTGTCCAGCTGAGGTCCTGATTAGGGCTAGTGGGTGTTATCATAGCTCTTACTTTCTTTTAGTCTCTTGTTTGATACTCGGCGTATCTTATTTTGGGCCTTCGCCAAAGGGCGTGTTTAGGGAGATATCTTGACCGGGGATGGGGGAAGCTTTTCCATATCAGCTTCATGAAACGCGGGCCTAACCTATGCTCCTTTCTGTCGTTTTTATATCGCGGTTGTTATTGTTTAATTAAACTACTAGCATCATTCTACAGAAATGCTTACCAGACAGTGTCGAGTCTGCAGATATCTCACTACAGTGAACCGGAATGGACGAAAATCACCAAAACTCCCTTAACGGCAAGCATACCCCCTATTCAGATACTAGCAGACCTTTCCAGGGAGATATGCTCTATGGGGTTGGATACTTGGCCGGGCAGATGAAGGATATGTATTCCCCGGCATGTCCTTAACAACATACCCACCTATTGTCCAGTGTGTTCTCGGCCGGCTAGTCAGGCCCGCTGATAGCCCACAGGTAGGAAGTGCGGCCAGAGCAGGTTATGGTGAGATTGACCCTTCTTTCGCAGGTCAGTTTTCTCAAATGCCCGCCACCTTAATAGATTCCTAGCACTCCAGCGGTCTTTCAAATAAGCCATATAGTAGACTTTTTGTCATTAAGTCTCAGTTTACTTTAGATGGGCACCAATATCCTCAAATGCTTAGTGTTACCTCCCAACAAGATATAATACCCGAAGATATCTCCTGCCCCCCCAGCCTAGGTCCCACAAAGAGAAAGCAAAATCATGCTATAGACTCAGCGCATTAAGAATATTATAGATTCTAAGCAATTTCCTATCACTCGATGTATCCTTAAAATATAGATGGATTACTCGCTCTTTTACAAGTACTATTTTACCATCAGGCTATCCCTCCCCCACCTCTTAGGTATCATTCCAAACCCCGGATCCCTAACACTTATCCTCCTTGTCTCTTCCCCACCAGTAGCTCTCCAGGCACTCTCCATCCCGATGATTCCGCCCCGCAAGCCGTTCGCTCTCTTTAAACCTTGATTTCCCGGGTTGGGCCCGGCTATTCAGGCGCGGGTGCATGTGTGCGCTCGGAAGCTTCACTAATTACTCTTCCCAGTGGAATACCACGAAAATAAGTAATAGCGATGAGGAGGACGTATTACCCCAGTATAGCCGTGTAGGCACAGAGTCTGCTGACGCATACGCTAGCGCTCCATTCAATCCATATCAATATATACACATGCCCTGAGGTCTGCACAAAGTAGGAGCAGCCATACACGATCACTCGGAAGTCTAGAGGGTATCTACCACCTGGACAGGCCCGGCATGATGAGCCTCGGAAGCCGGGTCGTAGCCACAGTCTGGCCGGCTCCCGGAACACCCTGACAGGGCTGGCCGCTTGCGATCACCAGTTGTCTAGTTTATGATACTCTCGCCACCAACTGTGCCAGACCCTCAGCGGTTCCACTCTCGCTGCTCCACCCTTCAGTCTCTTTCTAATAACGGACCTAACCCCCTAAGATCGACTACTACGTGTATGTGAAGGTTTGAGCTATAAGCCCTCAAGTATCCGTGCACAGGGGGGTCCCCGATGGCCTCCTATTCCTCATTTGTTATTTCTGCAAGGTACCGAGAGTTGGCTCAGACTTGAACCCTCCGATCCACCCGGCTTCGACTTACGGAAGGCTGAGGAATCCCATTAAAATGCCTTACGGGGACGCCCTATCTACCGACCAAGTGTTCTAGGAAGACTCGAACTTAGCACCTTGGTCATCCAGGTTTTCCTGAAGCACGTTGCCGTAATCAAAATCTCCGGGGCATTTTTGAATCCTACCTGCAAAGCTCGCTAAGATACTTGGAGACTTCGGAGGTGTTATTTTCTAAGTGCGGATAAATAGGAAGGATCTATGACCCATTGCTCAAGAAGAGTTTGGGTGATTCGTAATTATAGATTTTAGATACCTACTTCTGAGAGAGACCAATAAAAGCATTCAAGAAAGTGTGCCGGATCTGTCCCAGCTCAAATTGCTCCGTAGGTATAGACGGTGCCTCAGAATTGTGGGTGTTTTAGAAGAGTGCAGACTTTGGCCAAACTGGATAGTACAGGTTACTTACCCCACCTGCAGAGCAACACCCAGAGGACACCAAGTCACCTCCAACTTCCCTGTGCATCGCACGGGGAAGAAGCCCTCTCTCTCGGCCTAGATAGGTAGGACAGAATGTATTAGTGCCAGCTACGGTTTATAGTACTGTACATCGGGTTATCAAAACCTCGAGAAAAGAATACCAATTCAGGATGATCTTGAAGTTTCAAATAAGCCTCCTGCTTCAATCCAATTATCTGATCTTCTTGCCACTGGCTCCAGACCAGAAGTCTCACCAATCCAATGAAACCCAGGGCAAACTGGGTATCATATCCGCGGCAAGTTCGAAAATGGTGCGTGTAGTGCATGTAGTTCGTAACTAGTTTAGTTTGTCAGTGCACTGCTTTTGCGTAGCCCTGGCGAACCCACCAGACAAACTGCGCGAAACCGCAGGAGTATCCTTGCTGAAGGATAGAAATTTTGGGGCGGCCTTTGGGCGACAGACTATTACACGAATCCTGATGTAATGCTACAAAATTTCCACGTTAAGCACAAAAAGTCACGTCGGTGGCTTGATTGGTTCGAGTGACAGCGGTGATCGATAGATACAACGGAATAATGCCATATATAGTACCACATAGCCAAGGCCTGCCGTGTGTTATAGCCCGTGCAGCCGAATCATGTGTCGGCGCTTACTTATCCATAGGTATTCCTACGCACAAACAGGGCGAGTACAACAAAAACACACAAACAATCCTGAACACTCTGTAAAGAGGAAGACCGGCATCAAATCTTTATTCCACCCCGCAATCCATCCCCGCCAAATCTCCCTATATGAAAAGAGAAACCAGCACCATTTCCATCACACTCTCTCATGAAATCACAACTGTAACCTTCCCCTCAACCTCAACCTCTTCTGTATCATCTCGCGGATCCCCGTTTGTGTCAACCACAACAGCGAATTGCACATCCTCTTTCCCCAACACCACAATTGGCGCATGCCAAGTCCCCACACCATAAGAAACCCCCTGCTTGCCGTGCACCAGGAAGGCCTCCGCATTTTCGATCCTCGGTTTCGGGTCCCCGGGTGGAGAGACCACCACCAAATACCTAAACCCTTCCTCTTCCTTGACCCCCATGGGGATGAACAACTGCGAAGAATGGGGGTGACGCTCCATAACGCGGAGATCAAACTGCCCGGGAACCTCAGTACGTGGCTTGGAGACGAATATGCTGATCTTGGTGTCCGAGGGGTGGCGGTCCCGCGGGGTGGTATCATAGGAGGCGACGCCAGGATACTTTTTCGCGCTGCCTTGGTTCGCGGGTACGGGTTTCGCTTGAGCCTCCAGTATACTACCACTTTCGGGAATGCCAATTACCTGGCCGTAGGCAAGGAACCCATCACACGTTATAGGCTTTGCAGTGATGATTGTTGACCTGTCGGGGAGAGGTTGGATACTCTCGGGTGGGGAGGGACAGGCCCGGGGTTGGATTGTGGAATCTGCGGAGAGAATTTCTTCTACTGTGCTCCCAGGGCCATCTGGTCCCGGTTTTGAGGAGACGGCCATTATGAGGAGCTTGGCGAGCCGAATTTTTGAAGGGGTTGGAAGGCTGTTGTTTCAGAATTAGCGGTGATAGATTAGCGGTGATGGCAATGTTGTGGTTTGTGTTTGCTGTATGACTTGGCTGCTGGTTTATGAACCCTGGGCGCGATACATCAAGAAGCCCGCTGCAACTGAGTGGGCGGAGTGGGCAGTGGTGGTGACGGTGTTTGTTCCTGGACGGACAAACTCCCGGAAAAACTCTCAACGTCATATCATACCATCCCGGCAAGCCACCCACCCACCTTCCCTCGCCAAGATTTTTTTCCAAACGCCACCAGCCACAACCTTAATTATAGGTGCAGCACAAGTATGATACTGTATGATACGAGACGGGATGTTTTCGTGCGGTCCAGGGGTAATTTTCCTGGTTACTTGCTCCTGGCCTGAACAAAATCGTCTCCCCTAGTACTTGTAAAATAGCCCACCCAACCAACATCCCTTATTTCTGCCTGTAGAAATCGATACGCAGTATTGTACTATATGCACCTGGTCTGTTGAACTTTGATTCTATGGTTTTTGCCGAAATTTTGGCCTTACATTCCTCTTTGCGACAGCTGGGGACATACGGCTGCCTTTCTGGAATATATATGGTGTGACACTGCGACTCTACTATTCCGTTCACCGTGAACCAGCACCTTATTAGAGCCTGGAAGAGGGAAAGAAAAAAAGAAAACCCGGTTCTCCAAATGATTTTCTTAGAAATCATGAGGAAGGGAGTCAGTAATTTCAACAGTATCATAAATCGTCACCTTCTCCGCCACCATACGATGCATCACGGTTAATCACTCGGGTACAGGATTCAACTAAGAATGTACAATATCTGGGTCCATGAGATCTCTACCCAATTTGTGCCCTTCTATACAGCCCATATACCTGTCTAAATTCATTACCCCCATACTATTCCAGTTCGCCACTATCCTGCTAACTACAGGAGATTTTATCAATGCATCTCATAATAACACTTAATCTTGACCCTAATCAGAGAAAAATCACCCTGATTCCCACTGCTGCTCTCTGTGTGGATGTGCCGCTACCTCTATTTCGTCATGTTTTTTCAAAATATTATATTCTAGCAGCCTAACAAGACGTGGTATCGACGATCCAGCTCAGCCACGCAGCAGCTACACTTCCTAGCTGCAATATCAATGCGATAGAAAAAACTATTTCTGCATATTTTGGCTACAGTATAAGCTTTTCCGCCTGGCCGGTTTTTTCAATCCTTTCCTTGTTCCGTTGGCATATCACGAGCGGGATCGCACTTGTAGCAGTCCTCCCCGCGCTGGAACTCACGGCTACTAAAGTGCACATTTTTTTTGTTGATTATGATTCACAAGTTAATTTGGTAATAACGGATGAGCTGAAAAATCAAAGGAGAAAGGCACCTGTAGGAAGAGAGTTGCCCAAGGCCTAGTGGATATGATACATGATTCCCTGCAGACACCCAGAACGGAAGTCCTGGATTTCAGTTAGCCGCATCTCTACACTAACAGATCGCTATCGGGGGGGACTGTGTCCCCTTTGCCCTTGTCCAGTGGTTGCAGACCATGGTGGCCAAATGTTTTACAAAATCCCCTATTGTGTGCTATCATACAGACACAAAAAAATCTCTAGTCATTATTGCAGGTACCAAAACAAATTCAGGAAATACTAGTCTTGGTGTATGATCCCCGGTAAATCTAGATTTTAGGACTCAAGAACCTATTGCTATACCGCGGCAGTTTTCCAAGAAATCTATGGCATACCGCAAGGACTGGCATAATTGAGAATCTAGCCAGGTGTTAGAGATAGAGAGCGGCCCCCCCATTAAGGGCTGTGGTTCCAACTGATGGCTGGAGGGGGGGCCCTTCAGCTGTATTCCCCCCCTCAACCCAAGGGGGGGGGGAATTCTAGAGTCCTTGTGCCATTCTCAATTATCCCAGCCCCCACAGTACTCCTGCTGTATGTTAGACGAGAACCTCGGGGGGGGGGTTGGCGCGCCTCAATCATGACCCGACATCTGACCTCACCTCTGTACAGCGCCCTCAAAGCAGAAGGCGGTTGGTGCGTTAAAAAGGAAATCATGTGTCCGAACTACAAGGATTTGAGTTTTCAAGTAACATATCATAGTAAATTCATGATAACATAATCGTGATTATAGTGGGGCATTTGGCCCAGCACAATCTCGAACCACGTTTTGAGACCACCGCGATTTCAGGGTTTAGCATGAGATGGCAAATCTCCAAAACGCAATCGCGGCGCACCAAACACCCCCTTCCCCCTACAGTCAAGAGAGCTTTCTGCCGAGTGACTCCCCCCTGTCTTTTTTCCCTCCCCCAACCCCCTTTAAGGCTGCCCTTCCGCGCATTTTGTACTCTTGCAATAGCAATTTTACATGAACCTCGAGCGATACAGGTACTAACCTGGCTCTTCGCTGGGAAACTGAGTAGACGGGAGGTTTGCACCATATGTTATGAGGGCCGGGGTTACTATACTATGCTGTACTGGCACCGTATAGTGTCTCTCCTGCGGTCTGGAAAAAAACATCGACAATTACCGTCACCAGAAAGTGAAAACAGCATTCTCGCCAAATGGTCCAAGATAAAGCGTGATAGCTTCCGGATTTGCCTGCCTGAGCACTTTGCAGTACTATGGTATAGTCAGCAGAGCCCTGATCCCTCACTGAGAAGCAGTTGGACGGGGTGTGCAGAGTGCTCTACAGCACATGTTTTGGTAAAGATCTGAATTATTCACTTCAACCTCCCTTTGCCCAAACTCGTCCCTGCTGCTGCGGTCCCGATATGTTCCTCCCGCTCCCTCCCATCCAGTTCTCAATAACTTATATACCGTAAAAAAAATACACTCCCTCTACTAGTTAGCCCAAAACTACCATAACTAGTATACGACTCCCTTGCGCGTGGTGGTGGCACCCTAGAACCCTCCCCGAGATCCAATAAAAATAGAAACACTAGTCCTGATATAGTAATAGGCCATCCCTTATTAGGATGTCTCTTGGCTAAATTAATTATTCAGCAAAAGCTTTATTTTTCCCGATAACACGTCTCATTCTCCCCCTTCTCTCACAAACTCTGAAGGCCTTCACCGTACCGCACCACACAGGTACATCCCCAACAGGAAGACCAAAGGGGGCATCGCTCCCGTTCCAACAGCCAATTGGGGAACCCTTACAAAGAGTTTTCCTTAAAAAATATACACATATATATATAAATAATCCTATTTGTAGGTGTCGCCCTCGCAAGTTGAAGTAACATGTCCTTCGATGCTGGGTGTCAGGAGGGCACCGTACTTGTGCGTAGGTTCTCGGGTGTTAGCACCATACCATAGGAACTAGAAGAATCGAGCATGGCGCTAGGGCGTCCAGAAGTTCCCCTTTTGGACTAAGGGGGGACGAGTAGGCGCGGATGAACCCCCTTCAGCTCTCGGTTCGGGCCAACAGACCTTACTTGGAGAAACGACCCCAACGTCCTGGCGGGATTCTTAACGATTCTGGTTCTTACGGCACCTGTCCTGCCATCACACCCGCGATCAAGGGAATCCGGGGCCGCTCCACTACGAATTATGGTAGGCAGCCCCGCAATTCCGAAATGCACCTAGGGGCATGGGGACCTCGCATAAACAGCTTTATATAGGATTTATAAGTCAATTAAAATACTTCCTACTGCACCAGTGATGGAGATACTTGAGCGAGTGATATTCCATGATCCTAAACTGTTGTAGGTTTCTAGGGTGCAAGTATCGTTACGGCAAGATCAAGAATGATAATCACACAATTCCCACCTTCAGCCGATCATTTGTAGCGAATCATTAGAATACATGCAGTAATATCAATTATAAATAAACATAATTCCCCCTTGAATCCTACTAATCCCAAACAACAGCCCACCAACACACAATCTCCGGATCACGTGTCAATCACGAGCTTCAGCGTCTCCGGCAATAGAGTTCAGGAACACTTTTCCCCTCCACCTTCGCATTTTTAATAAAGGGAGGTATGAGCAAAGTTTTAAGTAACTGCATGTTATAAAAACTCCGAAACCAGTCTGAAACAATTTTAGTCGCCTGCCGACAGGGCGTCCGCTTGTCGGAGGAGGTAAAGTGTATCTATAAGTTAGCTCTGCGAGGTTAATATAATGAATGTACAGGTAAAATAAAGTGTATATTTCCTCCGGAGGGGCGGAGCCTTGACCCGCGCTGTGGTTTTGACTACGGATTGTATAAGAATTGAATTCAATTGAATTGCACAACGGGCGAGCCTTGAATTCTAGCTTTCCTTTGCTCGCTTGATGAATTGCTCCGTGATGCTAGTCTAACCCGAGACAGCTGTTGAACCAAGAGACAAAAAATAGCGGCCCTGCGGGGTTTTTTTTTTCTTTTCTTCCAGCCCCGTTGCCGCACCGGTCCAGGTTAGATGGTTATATTTGCCCCTCTGGTATTTTGTTATCCTGAAGCGAGGATCATTGAATTGAGCTATCACAAGGAGTACTGCGGCGGGGCCGATTGATCGCACTGTATTGATTTGATGTACTGATTTGAAATGACTGCAGAGCGAGGATCCCCATAAAAAAGGTCCAGGTGGACTTTTGTTGTACAATAATTAACCACACATTGCGATATCTGATACAGGCGCTTGTTTCTTTTGGGTGGGTAGGTAGGTAGCAAAGGGTTTCTTTTTTTCTTTTTTTCCTTTTTTTGTGCGGAGGCGTGTACGGAAATGCCATCCGCCACACCTGCAACAGGTGGACAGATGGACAAACAGACGATGGACGAAGAACGAGCCACAGTAGATGCGACCCTCGACAACCGGGCCGTTGAGAGAAATGGTGGAGAATAAAGCCATGCTCGGAAAGGAGTCCCCATATCTGAAACATCTGATCTGGTGATGAAACCAAACAGGCGGACGGATAGACGGACGGACGGAATTGACATGATTAAGCGATTTTTGTTCGTTTCCAACTACCGGTCGCGATGCTTTTTTATATATTTGTAATCTGAATAGTTGATCGGTGTTGCAAATAGGCCGCTCCATGAAAAGAAAAAAGAAGAATTTTGAGAAGTATCGACGAAATACCGAGCCAGTGTGAACTGTCAATATCACTTGTCGCACGTTGATGTCGAACTCGTTCACACAGATCCCCCTTCCTCCCCAATTTCTTTCCGACCGCCGAATTAATCCGAGTCTGAAGACGCATGAGAAGAGGAAGTAAGTCTCCTCTTCGAACAAGACCCGACTCTCCAACCAGAGAAGACAAAGCAAAAGAACAAATACGATAAGGAACAAAGCAAGAGATTAAGGAATACAAAGGTAGACTTTTAGAAAGTATAAGGGTTAAAAGGGAGAAAGCTGTACCCGATCAAAAAAAAAAAAAAAACTAACAGGGTAGGTGACTTTTGATGGGCCTGAATAATCTATCTCCTGTAGCTACGATCATCGCGGGCTTCGTCACGGTAAGCGCCACCTCCGTAGGCCCTTCCACCTTCACTACCGGTGGCAGGAGGTATCGCGGGCTCACCAGCACCGCTGCGGGAATATCCAGAATCACGATCACTATAGCTAGCATAGCCAGCATCCCTGGGCGCACGTCTTTCATCTCGTCCACTATACCTATCATCACGTCCAGACGCGTAACGGTCAACTCCGCGGGGAGGGTAGTCATCGCTCCTATCACGGGAACTATAGTAGCGGTCCCCACGCCCGCCACGATCACGGTCATCATAACGGGAATTATAACCGCGATCGTAATCGTCGTAAAAGCGACCACCACGTGAGGGGCCACGTCCGCCACGGTAACCACCGTCATCGCGACCAGGTGGCCCACGGCGGTAATCATCTGCATCTTTGCTGTGAGCTAGGCTTCATTTCATGGGGGGAATATATACATCCCAACGGGTTGACACATACCTCTTTTTGGTGGACCAAAGTACTTTCCGGGAGTAGGAGTCCTGGGACGACTACGCCTTGCTTTCTCAATAGATAAAGTTCGGCCTTCAAAAACTTCCCCCTGCAAGCGCTCTTTCGCGCTGTCCGCTTGATCTAATGTGGCCAGTTTGACAAACCCGAAGCCACGAGACTCCTTGGTGTGAGGGTCCAACATAATTTGACACTTCTCAACCTCACCATACTTGGCAAAAAGACGAGTAACATCATCTTCGGTAAGACGCGGATGAATACCAGTAACAAAGAGGTTAGTGCCAGGATTTTGGGCGCCATCAGAGGAGCTGGGACCACGGCGTTCACCACCACGCTCGGAAGAGGTGGAGCCAGCATCCATAAGGCGACGATCATCAGGACGTGACTCAGGAGGAACAGATCTACAAATATCAGCAGGTCGCGCATGACTTGAAAACGATAGGGGGACAAGATACCTCTCGCCACCACGGCCCCCAGGGGAGGCGCTTCTCACGCGGTCCCTCCTTGGGGAAGAATCCTCGCGACGCCCACGAGGCGACATAGAGCGCTCATCACGACGATAGGCATCACGTCCATCTTCTACTCCAGTCGGCACGGAAAAGTCAATTACAAGCTCGTCCTTAAGTAAATATTTTTCAAAAACAACAGGATCAGAAAGGGAGCATACCGTCGTAGTCACGATTGTTTTCGTTTTCGTAGTCCATTGTCATTAAAACCGTACTCAAAACTCAAAAAAATAAAAATAGTATTTGTTGGGTAGCACAAGGCGAAGAATGTAAGTAAACAGAGTGAAAGATGAAAATCGCTCAGGGTTGTGCGAGGCGACACGGACAAACACAGGAAGACAGGGTGAAGGGGGATGATGAGGAGACAGCAACACTGTTGTGTTGAGGGAAGAAGTTAAGGGAGAGAGGAAAGAACTTCAAGGAAGTGAGGCTGGTGAAAGGTGACGGGGAAGAGAGAGGATTAAGAAAGTAAACTGCGTTGGAGAAAATAGAAAGGATGGGTAGATGGAATGTCGAGGGGGGTTGACAAGAGAGAGAAGGGGATTAACTTAAGGCGATGGGAGATGAGCAAAGCAACGGAGGAAAAAAAAAGGGGTGAAATCTACTAGTACGTAAGCGGTAAAACCAGGGCTGGGACCCTAGGTTACTACCGGTAATCGTAGGTAAGATACTGGTAACCAACCTCTCGGAGCAGTTATTATCACACTATTATTGAGGAGGACTAAAATTGATGCATCTAAGCTTAGTTGGCTTACCTCCTGTACTCGAGTACTCGTACAAGTACGTGACGCCGAGTGGTGCAAGACCCGGTCCGGTGTTGCATAGTCTACCGCTTACGAGCAGTCTAGCTAGATAACAGAAGAGAATATGCAAGTACCATAATTGAATTACTGGTACGCTCGATGGTTTCGAGCTTAATGCATCTTTGACGGGTACATGTGATCTTCAAATAATTTGGCTAGACCGCTTACCAAGGCTATAAGGAGGATCAATTCGTACGGTTGGTTACAGTAGTCTACCATGCAAGACAGCTGCAACTACTCGTGCTGTACCGTATTATTATACCGTAGATGCACCGGCCACACTCTAGGAGAGTGTCGTAATAGAGTACAGTACTTCAATATACTGGGCCCGTACCGGCACATAAACGGGCTGTTGGGAGTCCAGTGATTCATACTACTTCTCAAGTGTGCAAACAAGAAGAATTCACGCCAACTGGCCACAATTTAAGGGACCGTTTAGAAATATCCTTTCAGAAATGTACCTTTAACTTTAAAACTACACTGCGCGCACTACATCGCCTTCCAAAACATGCAAGGAATGAAAGCAAGTTAAAAAGGAAACGAGAAGGAAAGAAGGAAAAAAAAGCGAGTACTATCCGACCCGACCCTAAACCCCGGTAACAAACTATCAATTCCAGAATTCCCACGATAATGAAAGAAGCAAAGAAAAGGGCAAAGAAAAAGCATGGAAAACAATTGAAGTGGCAAGTAAAGTAGGTTTGAAGAAGAATACAGTAGTAGTTAAGAAGCAGTAGGGTGGAAAGAAAGGAAGGAGTAAGGAGGGAAGGAAAAGGAGGTGTCAAGTGAACAACCAGACCTCATCAGATTAAAAGCAAGTCATCTAATAATACAGATATTTGGAAACACAGATACCCCAACAACCCCATATTACAGGAGCATCGTCTACCATTTCTTCTTGCGGGCCTTCTTAGCACCACTAGCGCCGGCAGCTCCCTTTGTGGTCCCGAACCGACCATTACTCTGCCTAGGAAAAATCATGCCTTTCCTGCTCTTCCGCCCGGTCGTAGCCACTGGAGCCACTGAAGCCGCTGGTGGGGGCGCCAACGTACCGTTTATGCCAGCCACTGGTTGAGTGCTGCTGGGTTCGCCGAGTCTAGATGAATCGATTTCCATGGGCGGATATTCTGGGCGGCTAGCTGAGGCGGAGGTGCCATTTTGGGTGGGGGTATCAGTTAGAACAGCTGCCAGAAGATTGGGTGGCGGCCCCGGAATGCCCATTCTGCTACCAATGCTCGGAAGTGTATGGTCTCTTCCGGGAGCAGCACCTTCGTCAATCGTACGGAGAGGCGAGGGAAGGTCTACAGCCCGAAATCCATCCATTAGGGAGTCGTTTTCGCCGGGATTTCGCTCAGGCTTAGGAACCAATTCTACTCTGCTATCTAGCATCGGCGCCCGGGGATCGGTAGCGCTTCCCCGTGGTGCTTGACCGATTGCCTGAGCGATTCTTTGACCCCACCCCGACATCGAAAGAGACAAATGAGATTCCAGCGGGGGCACTGAAGAATGTGCCCTAGCTGGATTCCCGTTCAGGTCACATTCATCATCATAATCTTCACTCGGCGGGCTCCATACTTCCGCTTCTACCCGAAGCCCGACAGGAGCAAGGTCTTTAAGATACCACGGCGGCCTTCCATTGTCCCAATGAACCCCGAGCTCCTGATCGATGTTCAACGGTGGTAAGACAACGGAGGAATCTTGTAACTGTATATGTGGGGCCAGCGCATTGTTGTTTTCCATTGATGAGAAAGTTTCTCCGTTCATGCCATCGTAGGTACCAATGGGTTTCATGTCGATAACATCGCCCCCAATTATCTCTATAGGAGGGGGACGGGTTCGTATCTCTAATTCAGACCTTCTGACATCTTCTAGAAGTGGGAGGACGTGCGGCAAAATCAGCGACGCAACCGTTGTACCCTGTAAATCGTCTTTTGGCGATGAGTGTATCAAGCCTGATCCCAGTTGATATCGGTAAACAATCTTGTACTCCAGAACCGGTTGCGAAGGCGGCGATTTAAGAACAGACAAGAGATCGCACGCAAATGCACCCACGTTAGGATACAAGCGGTTTTCTATTCGCTCTTCGATCAGCGAAAATCCATTGATGAAAACATGATTCGGATCGAGACTGTATCATAAACTGTTGTCAGCAGACAACTCCGAGAGGGGCAAAAGCCACTTCAAGCATTTAATCTGCAAATGCGCGAAGACTTACCTCCTAGCAATTTCAAAGACATTCCTAATGAGTGGAAGCTCAGGAAAGTAGTTCAAGTCCGTATACGCCTCCATAAAATTAGTCGTTTCGGTGTTCTTGTTTTCCTTTTCCTGCTTTTGCTCGAATATCTCCCTCAAACGCTCCAATTCAGAAACACGGCCATGAGCGAATTCTTTGCGTTTCTCGAGATCCATCGTGCCTTGTTTGAATCCGGCGCCAGAATACTTCTTTTTGACCACCTCTGCAGATGTAAAGCTGTTGATTGAAGCTTGAAGGCTCTTCACAAGGCTTGCGCCGCGCCGAGATTCACGTTTCAGGGTCCAGTATTTGCAGGCACTTGCAACAAATTCTGCGACCTCAACAACTTCAAACCGGCAAATGAATTTGACTACCCGGTCGTGGATCACTCGAGGTATAACTGGAGCACCCGAGGAAAGTTTCCACGTCGATTTGGGGTCTTGGCTGCGTTTCCGTTTGTTCCCAAAAGTTAAGGTAACCCGCGGAAGGTTTCCGTTTCGTAATACGCCGTTGCGTAGGCCATGGTCAGGCCCAGCCATCGCAGCGGACTGGCTATCACCCCACTGCGTGCCAGTCATTGTACTAGCATAAAAGTCCATCGCATCGGCCACAGCAGTATCCACCTGCACGGTACAATATTAGATTCTCACCGAAAATATCACGAGAAATAGATTGACAACATACGTCATTGTCCCTCCTCCATTGCTCAGGTACATGCTTATCGCAATATGCCTTAAGAGCCGAAGTTTCCATAAGTGCTCCCGTTCCCAAACTATTCTTCATTTTCATGGAAAGCCTCGCTCTGCGGCCACAAGTAACATGAAATGCAATAAAGCAATTTTTATTACTGCATTGGATGCAAGCTCCCATTTTTTGCTTACAGATGTAACAGCTCTATTGAATGTTAGAGATCTCCCCATGAAACTCGGATTGTGACAGCTGACCAGCTTCCATCTTGATTTTGGCACCGAGTCCATTCCATCAACTGGCTCCATATACGACGTGTTACCCAGAATAACCTCAGGAATCCATATCGCGCATAGCAAATGTGCCCACTTGGTGTTGGTTGTCTGTTTAAAGGCCCCGTCTGTGTTTGGACAGAATATGCAGTTCTGTGATTCTTATGGTTAGTAAAAGTTAACTGCAAAAGATTGAGTGCACATACAGCTGTTTTATTGGGTATAGCTAAGCATTTGCGGCAAAGCCACTGACCTTCCGGAATATGTGGCACTCCGTAGCACTCTTGGTGAACTGCTAAATTGCACCCGTCACAGAAGACGATGGCGTTAGAGTTTTCACATTCGCCATCATCGCAGATAACACATTTACTATCTTCGCCCCCGTCCTCGTCGCCGTCATTTCCTGAGCTTCTCCGCCGGTTTCCGTAGGTAGAGCCATGGGGTTTTGCAACGGTCTTAGGTATCCTTCTCTCCAAAGTTACCCACTCCTTCTCTATCTTAGTCATAGCGACTTCAAACATCTCCCTGGTGATGGGCTGAACATCCCTCATCCTCCTATGACTATTGTATGTAGTGAGCCATTTGTTATCTTGCTCATCCATGTCGTACTCCACCTTCTCGACTACTTCAACTGACTGTAGCTGGTCGTCAATCAGGGTGTCTGGGCGGTCTCGAACAAGTGTACGTGGGCGTTCGAAACGCGAGGTCTCCTGGTATCCTAGAGCGATCATTGCGCTATCAACGTTTGATCCAGAGCGATTGGGAGGATTGTTCAACCCTTGGGGTCCCGTGCTCCCAATGGGCGTCAACCAGGCTGCCTCGGAAAATTGAAATGGTGTAATTTTCCGATACTCAGGTTTCTTGAGCTCCGTTTTTGGTAGGTCAGGCGGATCTTGAATGTTGGTCTTCATTCTAGAGCCCCGCCCAGCGGATGGTGGGGCGTAAGATTTCCGTGAAGGCCTCCCAGTAGTTGATCGGTGGGCACGGAGGGAGGCAAGTGTTTGCCCATCTTTGCCACCCCTAGAGGGGCCGTAGAAAGATGGCGTAAGCCGTGAATTTAATTTTTGCCCCGAAGCCGAAGCAAGCTCTTCGGTAGGCGTCACTGCCGGTGTTTGCGGGGCGCCATGCGTGACTTCCACAAGTGCCGGATCAGTTGGGATAGACGGAGTGTCAATGCTCGTATTAGAGGGGGGCGGGGGAGGGGTTAGAGCGGCAAGCGCCGGATCAATAGCTATCATGGGAAGGGGTTGCAAGTGTTTCTCAAAAGAGCCTGAGATGCTGGCATCTTCCATACTGATATCGCCCCCAGTACAGAAGACTCCACTGTCAACGGTAGGTGGCCACGGCCCGGGTAGAATAGGGACCCCCGCACTATACATAGACCCGTTTCCCTGACCCTCTTGAGGAAGCTCCGACTTCTCTTGCACATCCGCAGCCTTTGCAGGCTTCTCGCCATCAATCACCTCGGCCGAGTAGACATTAAGCGGGCGATTGATATCTAAATCGATATGGAACTCGGTGTAGCTTCGTTCTTCTCGCGGCTTGATGTCGGCCCCGGTGACAGAAGCCGGAACTGCCGGCGTTGCTGATGCTCGTGCAGGCACCCTTCGTGTTCGTGCAACAGGACCTCCTCTAGCGGCATTCCACTCGTTGGCCGTTATAACCTCCCCGGTAGCGGGGTTCATGTACCTTCCGCCACCCCCTGCGCCTCCGGGCCTATAGCCATTCTGATATGTTGGCCTCCTCCTCCCAGTCGGAGTTCTACTCTCACTGCTCGCCGAAGGTGGGCGCGTTCGAGAAGATAGTATTGAGCTACCGCGGGCACGAAGTCTAGGACGACCTCTGCCGCGACCACGGACAGTAGGGGTCTGTACGGAAGGGGATGGCGCCATGTATGCTGTTAAAGTGGAAGAGAACACAGCATGTCCAGGCGAAGAACGCGTAGAAGGGTCAGGAAGATGGAGAGGGGAGGAGAAAGCTTTTATAATTGTTAGGGCGGGGTGTTGTGTGAAGTGTTCGGTCGATTCGAGGGGGTGGACCAAGCAGGACAGGCACTAGGAGATGTTGAGGTCGCGACTGTTATCAGATCGCCAAGAGATTAAGAAATTCGGGTTAGGGTGAAATTCTGCTGGCAGAGGTTGCTCGTCCCAGCCGTGCTCACCGTACCGTAGAGGTTAGGGGTGTGGCAAAGCGCAGAAGGTGGGTGACGGGGACTTGGTACTGGTACAGTGGTACCGTATCTTCTGGGCCGGTGTCGTCAACTTGTGGCTTGATGGTGCCAGACGTTTTGCGGGACCGAGGTGGAAGGCACAGGTACCGGTACAGTGCTGCATTCTACTGCCATCAGGGCCCTGGGGCGGAGGGAGAGAGTGACAGCAAAGTCGAATGACGTGACAGGACAATGATGGCACGTGCAGCTTTGAAATGGAGGCCTTCCTCCGCTATCTATGATATGATATGAACAGTATTTGTAAGATAGTGTCAGCCAGAGTTTCTCCCGGCTCCGTCCCACAAGAACAAAGCATATAACACACGAATACCGGCAGTTTGCCCGTAACATACCGTAGATGCTCCCTCCTCCCCCCTTCTTCCTCCCTACTCGAGTATTAGTACTATAAGGTAGCGGTACATCGCCATCCCTCACATTTTCCGTTAAGGCCACCGCAGAGGGCAAACGGTTGAAGACTTGCACAATACATCCGGTGACATTCCCCGGGCCTCTGGGACGAACCGACGGGCGAAGCAGGCATCGGGGATAGAATATCACTTCTCTACCGCCGTAGACAAGTAGCCGAGGAATAAACCTTATCGCCCGAACTGAAGGGACGGGCCCGAAAGGAAAAATCGAGTGGTTCGGGCCAAGAAGTCCAGGAGGTGCCTCGACGCGCGATACAGTTGAAGCCGCACCGGCACGTTTAACGACCAGAGGATGACGATTCTAAGCTTTACATCGCCGGACAAACAAGTCGTGGAACTCGCTCACGCCCTATCTCGTTTACTAGGTTGGACCTACTTTTTGTGTTGGGGAATCTCTTCATATCCTCAGCTCTTCATCAACTATTCGCGAAAATCGGTAACTGGCCTCGCTTTCGATTTCTTCACCGTGAACATCTTGGGCTTCGGCTGCTACACCATCTCCTCCGTCCTATTTCTGTTCTCCCCTGTGGTGCGAGACGAATATGCGAGGCGCCATCCTCGGTCTCCCGAACCCACGGTTCGATGGAACGATCTGGCGTTTGCGGTTTGTTGAATCTCGATTCCTTTCCTGGTAAAAATAACAATAATGTGTCACTAACGGCGGTGGTGGTAAACACAGACTCATGCAACCTTGCTCAGTCTCGTAACTTGGTCACAATTCTTTTTTGGGGGATATAAGCGAGACCCCACACAAATATTGTCCCGCACGATGCTAGCGCTGATAGCCGTTTGTGTTGCTTCGATCCTGATTTCCACTGTTCTTGCCCTGAGTGGCATAGTAGGTTTTGAATGGATTGATGTTGTGAGTTCACTCCAAAATTGAATTGTGACATTTGACTAGTCATTGATACTCGTTTTGCATGATCCGCCACCTGCAGGCCTATACTCTACAATTCGTCAAATTATTCATCTCGATAGTGAAGTACATTCCCCAAGCATGGCTTAATTATAAACGGGAAGCAACCACTGGTTGGTCAATTCACAACATTTTACTTGATATTTCGGGGGGTGTCTTATCGCTGGCCCAATTAGTTTTGGATTCTAGCCTTCAGAGTAAGTGGATTATCCAGCATTCCTAAAAAAAAAAAGCCCCGTGGGTAGACAATCATCTAAAGCACTCCAGACGACTGGTCTGGTCTAGCGGGTAATCCCTTAAAATTATTCCTTTCGCAAATTTCCATATTCTTCGACATTATATTCCTTATTCAACACTACGTATTATATCGCTCCTCTAGTGAACCTTCTGCCTGCTCACGCCTCTCTCCGGAAGGGGAAGCCGAAGTAGGCTATGGAACACTTGAGCCCCCTGAAGTTCCAGGAGTAGGTAGCGATAAACAATTGCACTCTTCTTCTCGCCGTCACTCCTTCAATGAGGAAGAACGGAGGTCATTCCGAAGATTTAGAGACGGCTCGGAGGCGGAGGAGGCGCTGAACAAGTCGAGACTAAGGGGAAGGGAAAAGAGGGGCTGTGGGGCTGGGGGCGGGAGGAGTGGCGGAGATGAGAGGAGGGTCTTGTTAAGCACCAGCTTCAGTGAAACTATTACTACCGGTAGTGTAGACGGTACGGGGGTGACAGGTGCATGAGAGGGTAGATATAGATTTATCTTAACCAGGAAGGCACGGGCGCGTAGATGGGATTAGACGGGAGCCATTTCATGGAGGTTTGTTATTCCGGTCGGAATAACAGGACAATTTTATGTGTATTTGAGCTGGTTTCGCGGATGGATGTTATTTTGTAGTTGAGATCGGGTTCTACCGTAGAATTACGGAAATAAGGCGCATCCCGAAAAAGGCGCACCTGGCAACAGCTAGTAGTATAAGATAGTGAACTATGCAGATTGTTTCCCATATCATAACAGTGGGAAAAAAAGCTGCAGATGTATTATAAACAATGCAATATGAGGTTATTGAACTCAGGTTCGCTGGTCTCCAATTTTGCATCAAAAGTCAAATCCTAGTAATCTCGTTGGCCTGGAACCCCGTTTGACCCACATCCAGAGTCTTTTCGCAAAGTCCCGGTAAGAGGACCAACTAGGAGCATGGGCAGAGGTAGGATCTCGTGTGAAATGAACAACAGCTGAGTAGTGTTCATGAATCCAGTAAAGCATAAGTGCGGTATTGGTATAGGCCTTATTAAAAATAACTGTAACACGGTCATCATAAAACTGGTATTCCTCCTGAATTGACCGTCCTTTTCCCACTCCTCGAAACATCAATAGTGGTTTGAAGCATGGTAGTCCATTAGCAGTTATTCAAAATCATGAGAGAAGCTTGTCACTTAGTCTATAATTTATTGGTAACCTTTTTCCTAATTGAGGTACTACCTTTAGGTGCATAGGTAAGCTTTTGATAAAAGTCAAAGAATAAAGTCATCTGATTATTATTAAAGATTGTGGAAAGTTGATATCACCCAACATCCTCCATCTCTGTTACAACTCCAGTCATTGAAAAATATTTCCTATTTGGGAACAACTTAATACCAGAGAACTATTACCACTTTTTGGGTCTTGCACTCCCCCTGCTGGGGGGGTGTAGGCCATTGCTACACTCCTCTCAGGAGGTCTTTGGGGGTCTATCCTTATTCCTTTTCCTACTGGCATCTATCTTCTGCTAGTGGTAGTTCTTTTCTCTACTCCGGGAATCTCTTCGCCAGGCCTCCCTTCTCCTCTACCTGACTTTTGTTAGGCCTTGCTTAACATCAGCATGGTTGGGCTTTAGTAGATAGGAAATGGTCTCTTGGTCAGTTGGCGTGGAAGTCCTCTGGGCTATTGGAAGTTCACCTCAGGCCTCTTTACTTTGCATGCTGGTGGTATCTCATCCACTAAGTGACACTTTCTCTCAGAGAACAAGGGACTACATAAGAGAAGTGGTAATACAGCTGCTTTGTATTTGGAGTTTGCACCTACTTCTGTGACCCTAGTTGCAGCCTGCTACCATATCAGTTGATCAGTCTCACCCTGCCTAGCTGTCCTTTTCTTCTTATCCATTGAGTTGGCTGACACCCTCTGCCTAGGTCCCTGGAGCTCTCCTCCTCACCATGAGGGCAACTCTCCTATCTGCCCCTCCTAGCTAGTCTAGGCCAGTGTCCTCTCACCTACGTCTCTGATGTTACTATAGGCATTACGCACTCTACTGCTGGCATCTTACTGCTGGGCTGGCATCCCTGCTACTTACCTCACTGGCTCTGACTCCCTTTATTATGGTTCTGATTCTCTGGGGGTCATCCACTTCTCTGCTGGCACCACACTGCCTCCTCCTCTCATCTGGCTCTGACTCTCTTCATCACACTTCAGGCCCTTTGAGAGTCACCCATACCTTAGCTGGCACCTTACTGCCATATCTGATTGTTATTTCAGGGGACACAGGTTTACTCCTGCCTACCATGGCTAAGACTTAGGCCTCCTCCTCTCGTTTTTGCTACTTCTTCCTCTTGGCCAGGCTATTGGTTAGAAGGCTAGGCTTACCTACGGCTGCCGTTATTGAGTATTTCATCAAGGCAACAGGGGTGAAGAGATCCTTGGAGTTGCTTTAGAGGGTTGGGGATTAGTTGGATTACCCCTGCCCTTTGTGTTGGCTTGGAGTTTGTAGGATTTCTGACTGGAGTGCTCTATTGGATTTGGGGTTTTCTTTGGCTTGGAGATGTTGGGTCTGCTGGCTGAGGAGGTTATAGGTTTGCTGTATTCAGCCTCATTTCCTGAGTCTGGGTTTCTATACCCCAGGGGAGTTTCTATGGCTTTTGCAGGTGGGTGGACTGTAGTTGAAGGAGTTTTGCTATGATACCACGAGGTCTATGTGTTCTTTTACCTACTTGATAGCATGTAGTTAGCTAGGTGTTTGTCTAATAATAAAATGAAATCAAAAAAAAAAGAAAAAAAAGTTGATGTCACCCAACTGCAAATGACTATTTACCAGCCTGAGGTATTCTATTATAATGAATAAAGCCTAAGAACTGCAAGGTAATTTCTCTATACTTATTTGGTATCTGCTGTGTCTGAAAGGTAGGAGTATAACTTGAATACAATATTCTGTATCATTCTTTAAAGCTGTAAAACTAACTATCTAAGAGTTAACCGGTATATATCTTTTTTCCATTTACTACTATAACCTGACCTGGGTACTTTTCTTCAAAGATTTAAAGTGTCTACCTCTCAAACCATTTCCAGTTGATCTCCATACTATAGTTGATCTTATCCCTCTATAACTTTGTCAATCATATATTTATCTTTGGCCATGCTAAAGTAGGTCTACTTCCTATAATAATATTTTAACTTGAATTTAAACAATACAAATATACAGCCACCTGTTAAAAGTGTTCACGATTCCACTAAAATACCAAGCCTAATTACATAACCAGAAATATAGAATGATCCTACTGAAGCCTTAACTGAATGCTATCACTAGTATCTCGTGTACTACCCCTTTGCATCAATTACGGCCTGTATCCTGTCTGGCATAGAATCCAACATTGCCTTAAAATATCTCTCTAGTATCTCCTCCCAATCCTTTAGCAAAACCTCAGCCAACCACCTTTGGATTGTCGCTGGACATCCTTGCAGGTCCACTGCATTGGGATTCATCCTATGCAGCATATACTTCATATGTACCCATAAGTGCTCAATTAGGTTTAGATCAGGAGAGTATGGAGGGTGGTCATATAGGCTAATACCATGGTCATGAAGGAAGGTCATGGATAGCTTTGTTGTATGGGCTTGGGTACCATCCTGCATGAAGAGAGGTTCTAAGTCAATACCCAATAGGTATTGCCAGAAGGAAAGTAGCTGTTTCAATAACAGTTTTATATAATATTCAGCATTTATTATCTTTTTGTCATCCAAACAATGAAGCTTCCCATACTTCAATCCACAGAAACAGGCCCAAACCATTAATAAAGCACTTTTGTATTTAGACTTAGGGTTACAACACTTAGGTAGCCATTTCTCCCACAGGTGGCGGAACACCCAGCAGTGCCTGGTAGTACAGCCACTAGACAAAAGTCTTGGTGATTACGCGAGGTGAGACAGTTCGCGACCTACCAAATAGCATAATACTGTCCACCCCCCACTATTGCTACCCGGAAACAAAGCAAAAAACATCAGATGAAATATTAAAAATTAAAAATAAATAATTAGAAATTAAATAAAGAATAAACAAAGTAAATAAAGAAAATAAAAAGTACAACAGGAAACTAGTATCGAGTGTACCAGCCTTTAGCATCTATGACAGCGGAGACACGGGAGGGCATCGAGCGCCAGAGTTTTTCGAAAAATGAGTGCGGAATTGTTGCCCACACAATTGGTAGCACTTCGGCAAGTCGCTGGTGAATTCTATCAGGCTCACCTCGAGTATCCAGGATATCGGGATACTGCAAATAAAGGCGTCGCTTTAGCTCAACCAATGCATGTTCGATGGGATTGAGATCGGGTGACAATGGGGGATGATCCTCCAGGTTGATCCCATTGTCAGCAAACCACTGGCGTGTGTCATGTGCAGTATGCACACGCGCATTATCCTGCTGGAAGAGCGAGTCCCCCAGTTCTTCATCAATCTCTTCCATGACCGGTGGAAGATGCCTATCCAATAGGCTAATGTAAACCCACCGGTCAACCTTACTTTCTAAAATGGGCACCAACGGTCCCCGGTGGCCACCCCAAAAACACCCCCATACCATCAACCCCACCTCATTGGTTTTTCCCCGTGGCTTGATGCAGTCGGCAAGCCACTTCTCCTCTGGTGTACGGAACACCTATTTCTGTGCCGGATTAGCTGACTTGCGCACTGTGCACTCATCACTATAAAGGATGTTCCCGAAGTCTTCTGCCGTCCAATCCTTCCGGGCAACTGCCCAGTCCAATCTTTTTTTGGCATGGGTGGCAGTCAAGTGGGGCCGGGTTTGTGCAAGCCATATTTTGATATTGGCTTCGCGAAGAACACGGTCAACTGTCTGAATGGATACATGTGGAGCATGCCGATTCCGGAGCTCCAATCGTGTGATTCCCTGGTCTTTTTGCGCGGCCCGGACAATGGCTCGGCGCTCTCTCTGGGTCAGAATAATGGGCCTACCTGAGCGAGGTGCATTGGCTATATGACCTCGGTCACATGCGCGGGCGAGGAAATTGCGTACTGTTGACCAGGGCCGGTTAACGAGGGAGGCAACTGTCAATATCTTTTCAAAGATGTGGAAAAAGGCAATTATTATGCCTTTTTCCACATTTGTCATTTCCCGCCATGTGGTTTTTGGCTTATAACGCGAAGCTGGATTCTTTTTGGGAGGCATTTTGGCATGTATTACATTGTTGATATCTACGCGGCTGTCTTTTATCATTGTGCTGAGTAAGTGCTGACTCAGCATCACCAAGACTTTTGTCTAGTGGCTGTACTAGCTTTTTCAACTGTACACTCATCACTCTAGATAATACGATACCAGTCTACTAAACTCCAATGCTGGTAGTCCCTTGCCCATTGGAGTCTTTTGGCTGCATGCTCTGCTGTAAGCTTGACTCAGTGCTTAGCTAACTATTTGCGTAGGTTCTGACTTCGCAGGTAGTGATTGAGGGTTGATATGCTGACATGGGGACATATATTAAGCCAAAGCTATCCAATTAGTATATAAATAATTTCACTTAGTGTAACACATACCTCTTCCTTGGATTGGAACTGATCCTTCTTCCAAGCACGTTCAAGTTTAATAGAGCTCTTATCCTGTCCACTAAGCTTTGGGGGCCACCCAGAGCAAGGCAGGTTCTGAATATCACTGAGTTCAGAGGCCCTCTTTAAAAATGTCTGTACCATAGTCTCTGATCTCTCCAGTAGTCTTGCAACCAAAGAATAATTATAAAAGCACTAAAAGAAGGCAATTATCATGCCTTTAAGTACATCTAATATTTCTCTTTGCTGGGTTTTCGGTTTAGAAGGTATTGCTATCAATTCATAGTTGATACAATTCAATTTACACGACCATGAATAGCCAAATATTTCGCGAGGTGTTGCTTAGTCAGCCACTTCCAAAGACTTTTGATGGGTGGCTGTATATCCATACTATAGGTATTTCCTGTTACATCTAAGATTTTTTTTTCAGACTTTTTCAACTTTTATAGCTGGCTTTCATTATAGTATATTAGTAAAAAAAAACT